ACATGTTTTCCACTGTTACACAATGATGGTTTCCAACTTATTAGTCAGCTTCAGGGAAAAAGTGAAATGGCTCCAAAGTTGTTAAATAGCTGCATCCCTCCCACTATTACAGGCTAAACCTGAACTGTCTTTGCAGCTTTCAGGGGTGTGGTTTGTCTAAGTCACTTGTCTTCATTTCCTCGGAGCTCCATCTGCAGGGCAGCGTTTCTGCAGGTAGTGCGAGAGTAATCCTCCCCAATATAGTCATTGTTGGCTTAATGCTAGCCTTCAATTTAGCAGACACACCCTCTTGGGTAATCACTGTAGGATTTGGGCATTCGTGCCCGTAAAGGCCAAGCACCATTATTACAGCCGTTTATTTATTTGCTAAATGGTTGGTGGGAACAGATACTCCAAACTGCTGTTGTTACAACTTCATTTGGTTTCTCTTTAACTTTGTAGACACTAAAGTTGTCCTTGGTTGTGAAACTGCTGCCTCTGTGTCTGCTTTTGAATTCCTGTGTGCCCTCTGTAGCCTCTTCGATTGTGTAGTTAATGATGAACTCACACAGAGCTCAGTTTAAAACAGGTGCGGAAGTGGCAGAAAGCTGCTTGGTTTCCTGCTGAGGGCGCAGTTCCCCTCAAAGCAATTGGCGTTGATCAAAGTGCCTTGCAAAAGTATTAGCAACCCTGGAACTCTAACAGATTTGTTCACATTAAAACCAGAAAATTTACTGTATTCTTTTGGGATGTTATGCGGAAAACAAACACAAAGTAGTCCATAATTTGAAAGTGGAAGGAAATGTTTCTGAAAATAAAAAATGATGGGGTACAATAGTATTTCATTTGGGATACATTGAGGAGAAGTATGCATCTGTCAGTAGAGTGTCACTGGGTGAAGTTCTATGAAGGTCTCAGAGGTTTGTAAGAGAACATCAGTGAATAATATCATGAAGACTAAGGAACAGAACAACAGCTCAGGGATACAGTTATGAAAAACAGTAAAATGCTTCAGCATTGAATTAATAAATTCTTACTGAGACTGAGCTACTTACAAAAACAAAATCCCAGTCGGTGTCAATCTGCTGGAAGATACTCTGAAATATTGACCAGCTGCATCTTCTGTCACTTGTTTAATTATGCACTGCTTTGTTTTGTCCATTGGACACATTAAGGATCATTGTTGTTGGAAAATGACAAAGTGTTAGAGAAAGGGGTCTGAATACTATTACAAGGCTCTGTTGACACACTGTTTTCTTTCAGTAATGGTTGTGTAACTTGAATTTGTTTGACTGCAGTTGTTTCAGACCTGAATTTTCTCACTTATATATATTTTTTTCTAAAATTGTTGATTATGAGCCGTGCTCTGGTGGCCAAATAAGGTTGAAAATGTGAGGACCCTGAAGTCCAAGGTACACTGGGCAGTTGTCCAAAACACATTCCATTTGTATGTGCAGCTGAAGGTTGCTTGCTGTGGTGAAATTACAAGCTCATAGAACCAGAAAATTATTATGAACTGCTGCAATTCCACATGACATTTTCAATTTGTGTGTAGCGCTGTACATAAGGTGCATAGAAGCAGAGTGTGCACTACATGTGCTACAAATTCTATTTTACTCGACTAAAACAATTGGTGTAAGTGTAATTCAATTTCCTAGATATGTTCATGGGTGCTCCCGAAGATCTATAGATGCTTGGCATAGATTTATGAGTTTAAACTAGTTTGTCTCTGCAATCACACACCAGAAAAACAAAGGATTATAGCTTGCATTCAGGTGTGAGAATGGGGTTACTTCAGCGATAGCAACGGAAGGTATGATTAATAGTGCTGCAGCTTGCAGTTTTCTGAATCTCCTTATTGCAAAAACCACAACTGCATGTGTTTCGAAAAAAAAAAAAAGAAGAAATCAGTTGTTACTCCTTTGTGATAATCTCCTTGGCGAATAGAACTGGCCAGAGCTTGTTCAGGCAGACAGATCACCAACCTTTGTCACGGAGCATCTGTTTTCACAGAAACAAGGGAGGATGATTTTATCATCACACACAGGAGCACAGGCACAAGTCATTCACCCCCACAGCTGCACACACTGACTGAAGATCCATGTGATGCAACCTCAACCGCTTCCTTTGAACAGTTCTCATACGTGCCAAATCAGTGTTGTGACGATGCTTCTGGATGAAACAACACATGTTACTTGTTCGTAGGTGGAGAAAAAGACTAATTCATGGCAAGTCTGGTGCTGCTGCTCACTTAGTGAAGAAATGACTCAGGGAAATGTTTGGTTTGGACTCCGAAAAGCCTTTAAGCAATGTTAATGAATGATCCAATACCAATGCATTAATAGGAATGGAAATGTGCGCACAGTATCCTTACAGAGCTGGATTCTTTCCCCCCTCTCAACTGCAGCACAGCTGTCCTAACATCACCCTAACAGAGAGAGAGGAGTGAAGCAGAGATGTTTCCACTTAAAACCAGTTCTACAGTATTCCATCGCCATTTGATGTAACTGTGAAAGTGTGGTTCAAAATGCTCAGTGTTGCTGCATTCCAAAAGGGGTTTTGGAAATTGTGATGAGATAACAAGAGGTCACATGCTCTGCTTTGAAAAAGTGAGTTCTGTTGTCCGTTTGTGCAGCCTTAAGTTCAGTGAACTCATTTTGTATGAGAGATAGAAGTGGAATGTGTGCGTGTGTGTGTGCAGAGAGAAGTCTTTCAACACCTTTTGTAGGATCAGAGAACTCCACCATTTATGCAGCCTTTCTATTTTTAAGCAGCCCAGTTTGATGTCTATTCTTGAGCCACTCCCTAAGAGTTAGCGAGAAAATGAGTCTTCCTTTTTCTGGAGCAGTGTCTCTTGGCTCCAGGCAGCGTGATGATGATGATGGTGACACAAAGGATCCTCTGTGTCACTTGGCTGTGATGCAGCAGAGTGGAGCACGCCACACAGAGCGATGCGGCTTTTTCACAGCATTTCAGCTGCAATTCACTTCATCTCTCATAGAGCAGTAAAAACTGTTTGCAAACACGAGACCAGATATTTTAATGTCATTTCGTGATTAATGAACAGACATATTAATAAGTGAGAAATATTTTGAGGTTAGTTTGAGAATATAATAGCACCACCTGTTGGTAGGAAATGGCCTCAATTTGTCTTATTGCAAGGACCTACAAAAAGAATAGCTTTAAGGCACTATTTTGTGTACAAAGTAGCAACATCAGCGTTTCTCTGTGATTGTGATTTTCCATCTGGTACAAGCCCAAGTGACTCATTTTTAAAAGCAGATATTTCCTTTTTTAGTTATTTAAGAGAAGGTAATTTGTTTTGAATGGAAAAGCTTTAAGTTGAACAAGTGCAATTTGTCTTTACCCCCCCCCCCCAATAATCTCTAATAAGACTGTCAGAGACCTGTCTCCATCACACTTGGGAACAGTGACTTAATACCAGCTATGATTTAAATTAATTAGCAGTTCAAAGCTAAAAAAAAAAAAAAAGACCTTTAGACAAAGTTCGATTACTGTCCAAGTGCTTCAGCTCAAAAAGTGAAAGGAGAATGGAGGGCCACAGAGAGCGACTATAGTTAAACTGATTAGAAAAAAACTAATTAAAATCACTATATCTACTCTATGTTCTATCAACTCTCAAAAAAAACAAATAAACAAAAAAAAAAAACAGATCAGATTCATTTCATAAATTATAAACCAAAAAATTTTCTATCAAAAGCAATTTTAATATATTCATATAGATGGATTCAGATTCTAAATATAATAAAATATATTCTTATACTGCATACTGTCTAAGAAAACCAGGTTAACTTTAGAGAACACCTTCTTCCAAAGCAAGCTTATGTTAAAACATAACTAGTTAATTTTTGCCACTTTTCTTAAAGACAGATATAATAATTTAAGCAATTGGAATACTATATTTTTCATCGTTCACAACTTCACCGTTTGATAAAACAGGATGAACTAACAGAAGCATATTACATGGCTCCCTAAATCATCAAGTGGGTAAACTTTCATCTGAAACTGTCCAGTTCTTCATCTCCTTAGTTTATCAACTGAAACGTTGACTTTCTATGTTCAGCCACGCATTTTTCTTCCACTCAACTTTTCATTGAATTGCAAGCTTCTTTGGCAGTGCAGCTTACCTCTTTTGTAAAGCCTGTCAATAACTGCCTGCAGCAGTCAAGTCAGCATTCTTTCCATTGGTTGCACAGATCACAATGTATCAATTATGTGTTAAATGATCTAAAATTATACTGTAATTTTCAGAGGAACTGAAATTTAAACTTAGATTACCTGTTAAAAAAATAATCAGAATTAAATTAGCAGAACATGCTTGGAAGAAGTGTAAATAATCTATACCTGTTTCATTTTTTGGATGGAATTACTTAAACTTTCTGAAAATTTGCCTTCTTATTGATAAAACCAATTCATTTTAATTGTGTCTTAAGTAAGGCGGTAATTCATGTATTTTGTCAAACTTTTAAACTTCCTTTGACCAACCGCATTGTTTCATTGTTTCAGTACTGAAGGCCACACATGCTCTTGATGCTACAGTTCCTACTGAGTGAACAAAGCAAGAAATCCTGTCGGGAGGCCCTGTGTGTCTGTGAGAGCACGTGGGGCATGCTTCATGGTTTTACATGGTTTTATAAGAGCATTAATCTTCTTAATCTGGAGCTCTGAATAGAATTCCTCTAATATGGGGGCAAAACCCAATAGTGATCACTTTGCTTTACAAAACCATGCAATTTAACATTCCATGGTTAAATTGTAAGTTTTTTACTTACTTGATGCAGCAGATGAATGTTAATTGAATGAAATTATTTATGTGCAGATGAAGGAAACTGTTTGAGTGAACACAAAGTTTTACACTAAATAATCTTGATTCATGGAGCTGAGTATCTGTCGCCCCCCAGTGTTCATAATGGGTAAGAGTCTGTTTCACTGACGTCCTCTTCCTGTTGCCAGCAACTGAGTAATCAAGAGGCTGAGATAAGCGTTCCAGAGTATTTTATTTTTATACCCTAAAAACTTCCTCTTTTGAAATATAAACTATTTTTAAGAAATACAAATGATTTAAGTTCTTTAAATGCCACAGTCTGAAATCTTTCTCACAATGAAATAAATGTTAGTAGAAAAACAAGTGTCATGCTATAAAATCAGTCTTTTCTTCGAATGTGCAGAATATGGATATCGGGACTGCTGAACTCTGGGTCCTGTTTGTCAGAAGGGATTGTTTCATAGACGAAATTTCGTTGCAGCAACTGAAAAATGAAAAAGCGAAGCAGCAAATCAGACATCAAGAATATTAAGCTGAAAAAAAAAACCCTGTTTCTATCTATACCTCAAAAAACTTATTTTCCACTTCTGGATTTACGCCCTCGGTGCGTTGCTCATAGCAGCAGATAATGGAGGTCTCTGGTCCGGAAAGCTGCTTCAAGGTCTCCACCAGTGGACCTATAGACTGTGCAGGATTGAACCATGACGAGGAAATCAGGAATACAGTAAATAATATGTTTTATAGTCTCAAAAATATTATTATAGTGCTTTATTAATGTATTCATTCCTGTTGTCATGTTATATCTTCAAACCACGGAATATCTTGGAAATCTTATGTGGCAGACCAATGCAAATGAACAGATATAAACTAAACAATCGCATGTTTATGTTTGCTATCCAACTGCAAGGTGAACCTCTACCCTGTTTACTGATTTTGTCGTAAGAATTTCAATATTACTCTTTGCTGACCTTAGTGACTCCAGGTAGGTATTTTCTTTAACAGTACACTCACGATATTTGTCATATCAACAACTAGTCTTGCCTATCCTGTTGATTTTTCCAGCTCATATCATATCATGGGCCTCTTTACTTGAGTTTTCTCAAGGAAACTGACAGAACTGAATTTTATTCAGCAGTACAAAAGTGAAGAGGGCCAAATACAAATGCATTTGAATCTTCTCTGATTTTTATTTGTAATATTTACTCTTCATAATTATGCACTACCTTGAGTTGAATATGTGGATAAAATCCACATGAAATAATTGAAGTTGGTGATTGTAAAGTGACACATTTGAAATGCACAGTTGAATTTAATCACTTTCATAAGTGAGTAAGTAGAAGAAAGTTTGCACAATACCTGCTCATAATATATGCAATCTGCCATGATAATGCAATGTGGAGGAGGCAATAGCTCAGACACATTCTCACCCCTTCAAAAGCAAAGAAACAGGTTAGAGTTTAGCAAATATGCAGCTTGTAAACATTTTATCAATCCAGTGCAATATCAAACAGAAGTACAAACCATTTCAGTACCTTGGCAGATATGGACCCACTCTGAATGAGTGTCTGGTTTTCCTGAATATTCACATTCAGGAGGGACTGCAAATCTTCCAGGTCTGTTACGATGACATGAGCACTGCAGAGAATTATACATATATAAGTAAAGGAAGATGCAAAGATTGAGGGAGCGGGGGTGATTAACAACAACAAAAAAGTCTCACCCGAGTGTTGCTGCCATCAGACCAACTGCTCCTGTCCCAGCACCTAATTCCACCACCCTCCTGCCGCACCACACGTTGACTCCTATCGACGGGTCATAAAACGTTTTAGTCTCCAAATATTTAGCAAGAACAATGGCTGCATCCCAGACGACACAACCAACGTCTCCTATGTAGCACTGTTTCATTCTTAAGACGGATCCGTCATTCTTTTCGATTTCTCTTACAAAATACTTGCTATTGTCTATTTCTGCTGCCGCCATGTTGACCAAAGTTGGAGTGATTGGTGTTATGACTGAGAGAACTTCCGGTCCTGTGCGAAATTATGTCCCCCAGTGAAAAACTGTTCCCCTTGTGTCGGGAGCGCGTAAGTAGGTGAAGAGGTGGGGAGGTACAATCTTTGGTAGCTGCATTTTCACTCGGTGGGGGACCAAATATTTCTCAAAAATACATAGAGGGAATACCTCTGACTCCCCAGCTCCAAATTATGTTTCTTAAAAGTCAAATATCCCGCTAGGCAGGGCCGGGGGACCGACATTTTGCTGTTACAACCTTTCTTATTTTATCAAAACAAACTTTCGGTTCAATGAGATTTCAATCTCGTTGAAACATAGACGTTCTCTTTACAATCAGACACTGCCCATTAATTTATTGCAGTTAAACGCTTTCCCGGAAATACACCAAGGTACCTTTCAAAATAAACTTTTCATTTGCCAGTAGCGATAACCTCATGCGCAGATGCTAACTTCCGTTGTTTCTCAATGTAGCCATTTTGCTAATTGCTTGAAATATGTTTAAAACCTCTCTTTCCTGTTTGTTTAAGTCTGATAGATTTTAACATATATAGGGTACGCTACTTGGACTTTTTTACCACTATAATTTTTTTGTGAGAATGTAAAATGTATCAGAACAATACAGAAGAGATAACCGGCAGTGAGACCTCAGACGCTGGGCAAGCCTGTGGCAGAAGCGGCCTGAAGGAAGCCACCGCCTCCGGCTACTCCTCGTCTTGTTGTCCTGAATCTCTCTCCTCCGCTCTGCCTTACCGAAGTTCAGATTTTCACATTCCCAGTTCAAGTCATGCTCCATCACAGCCAGGAATTGCCTCAGGTGATTTTAAAAACTATGAATTATGCAAGTTTTTTTTTATTTTTTTTTTTTACTGTTTGTCAGGTTACAACCACACTTTAGTTCATTGGTATCTTGTGCGATTGAACCTAAATAGAAAAAGATACGTAGCTTTCAAATCTTAAACTGTTCAAGTATTGCCACAAAATTGGCATTTGGTCTGGGCTTGCACGCAGACATTCTACAAGTGATCCTATTGTAGCTCTGAGCATATTTTTAGACATTTTCCTTTTGGAAGGCAAGCCTCCATCCACTTTAAAAAATTTTTGCAGAATATTTTCTTCCAGAATTTCCCTGTACTTACTTCCAGATTTTCCTACTAGAGCTAAGGATCGCTGCAGCTCCTCCAGAGCTACCTTGCTGGTCTGATTCACACTGTTCTTGCCCAACCTGCCTGTTTGTAATGAACAAAAAGAAACAGTTCTGCACACGTGAACATTTTTTTTAAAGCAAAAATATCTACAGTCTATGTGTTATGAAATTCAGATTTTATTCTGATAGTGTAGAATAGGATTGGTCCCACAAGATGAATTTGGTTTTTGACACGCCGGTTTTCTTGAAGGTCAGTGCCAGAATGGCGTCAGAGTGGGAAGACCAGCCTCGTCGGTTCTTATGTCTTCCACAGACACTTCCTCTGTTCGCTTTCCTGGAGGAACACCAAGACTCCGGAGGACACCAGGATCTACAGGACCGACAGGTTGACACCTTACACAGCCATGAGTTCCTGGAATAAACTTTATTTTAAGTAATCCCTTTTTGAGCTGATTCCTATATGGTCACTCTTGATAGGAACAAGTGTCTCGTCTGTTTCCACAACTTCTGGTGCCTCTGTGATAGTAGCGGTAGTTGAAGGGCGAGGTTTGGCCAGAGGAGAGATTGGCATGGCCAGTATTGATTTAAAATGTCCAGAACTTGTACTTTCTCAGTTTGCAGACACAGGGACATATGCCAAGGTAAGCCTATTAATTTCTTCCTGTGTGACTATTAAGGCTTAAAACACACAGAGTTGTTTATTTTTCCCTTTGAAGGTTATAACCAGGCTTCACATCTTGATGCCGATGGAAATCCTGATGCCAGATACAGCCAGTGAGAAGGGAAAATGGACAAAACTCTTCAAGCTCATTACAGAGAATTTTTCAGTATGAAAACATATTTTTAAATTTTTTTTTTCAAACATAAAAATCTATTGATTACTTTTAGTACGTTAAAGTTTTGTTTTTCAGGGTGTAAATCTCACTGCAATCCAGAGAAAGTACTATAATGAGAAGAAAGGGCTGGAGTACATACAGCAGCTCTGTGCTCCAGAATTTGGCACTGTACTAATGGAGGTGCAAGCAAAGTAAGCTGCAAAGTTCATGAAAGCATGAAAATATACTGGTCAGAAGTTTGGATACATTCATCATTAATCATTAACAAGAATGTTATATCAATTTTGAGGTTTTTACAATTCATTTGAAAAGTTCTGATGTGGAGTGTTGACATTAAACAGCTTGAATGAATTTTAAAAATGAGGACATTTGGTATTTGAGCATGACGGTTCTCTCAAAGACTCATTTAAACTTATCTGGAGGATGCAAAGTCCACTAACATGTCTGCAGAAATGGCCACAACATACAAACTATTAAAAATGTATGGACTACTCTTAAAAATCTATCTTAGTGCCATCCAATTTTTATGAGATCTAGTTATTTCTCTAGAACTTAAGGGTATTTATCAAAGTATGAGTTGGGGTGTGTATATTTGAAAAATCCACAATAAATTACAACTTGTATGCAAAACATTTGTTTTCGAAAGTTTTCTGAAGCTGTTACTAATTTCAAAACCCCCAAAAGGCACAATGTGAAGCTGAAAACAAATGTGATATTCATGCTGTCGATGTGTTTATGCAAACCTGAGCGGCACTGTTACTCTGTTATAACCCTGCAAGTTTTTATTTACCTAATATGATTACCATTTTAGGTATTATTGCCTAGCATCGGCAGCTGCTTTGCTGAAATACTTGGAGTTCATTCAGAGCTCATTTTATGCTGCCAAGTCTCTAAAAGTGATCTTTAAGGGAAGTGAACAGACAGCTATGATCGACTCGGCCTCTGCAGCTAACTTGGAGTTGGTGGTTAATAACAGAGACAACAGGTAAGAGAGAAAAATACCTGCAAAATCTCAATGTCTTTACATAATAACTGAACGCACTTTCAGTCTGTCTTTGTTTGCCTTTGGACAGAAGCGACTATACTCTTTTAGGAGTACTCAACCATACGAAAACACCTGGTGGAGCGAGGAGGCTTCGCTCCAATATTCTGGAGCCTCTTCTTGATGTGGATACTATAACCACACGCTTGGACGCCATTCAGGAGCTGCTGCAAAATGAGGAGCTCTTTTTCGGCCTAAAGAATGGTTTAGGAGCTTTTTATTAAATCATACATGTAAATTTAACAAATACAGGTGATGCATAACAATGTGTGTTCTTTCCCCCTCAGCAATAGGTCATTTCCTGGACATTGACCGGCTGCTCTCTGTTCTCGTTCAGATTCCAAAGCAGGAAACGGTGGGGGGGGGGTTTCACAGCTTTACGGTCTATAGATTTTTTTCTGTTGCTCACATTTTATGCATTTCTCATTAGTGGTACATTGTTAATCCTGCAGGCTCAAGCTGCTGAATCTAAGATTACGCATGTCATCCAGCTGAAACACACACTGGATCTGGTGCCACAGTTAAGGGTCTGTACCTGCTTGTCATCATTCAATAAACATTTATAAACCGATTTTTAAAAAGCCAACTGAACATTGCACATATTAAACAGGAGGTGTTAAAGACGTGCAGTACAGCTCTGCTGAAGGCATACAGTGCAACACTGGAGGACAACCGGTAAAGATGCTGTTTTTGCTTTAAACTCAAATTGGAAATGCGTACTAAATCAACCACTTCAACTGGCACCCTCAGTAAAGATATGTAAATATCCTTAAAATAATAAGCATTCAACACCTGTTTACTAATTGTACTGCACTTTATTGTAACTTCTATATTATTTTATGATTATTTACCATCTGTACCTCCGTCTATACTCTCTCACAGCTGATACATATTATGCTACCTTGTTGCTCTCACTTTTGTCTATTTGGGTTTTTTGTTTTGTGTCATCTTTAGTTTCCTGTAATCTTGTACACCTGTTCCTAGTAAATCTAAATATTCCTTAGATTCCATCTTGCTTATCTGCTGCCCGCATTTGGGTTCTATTCAATAATAAAATATGATTTCATTGTCTCATGAGTCAGAATAAGTCATGTGCTAATTTGGCCAGATGTGTAGGATTATTATTGTGTTGAAACCCATGATGATCTATTTTAATAGAAAAAAAGCCCATAGCATGACATACTCCTCTATACTTAACAATGGTTGTAAGGTACTTTTCCAAATATTCATACAAATATTTATCTTTCTAAATCAAACGGGTTCAGTTAAAGTCCCAATTTGAAGGCCGGATATTTCTAAATTTTACAGGAATAAAGTAGCCTTTTCAGCTTACATATTTGTTTGTCAGGAGTTTCAATAGAGTTTTCCTGTGCTTAACCATCTTCAAACTGTGTGCATTTTGTTTTCCTACAGATTTGACATAATCCTCGAGCAGATCAAGACGGTGGTAAATTACGATACCACATTTTTAAAAGGAAGCCTGAATATGCGGACCCAGAAGTGTTACGCAGTGCGACCCAACATCAACGCGTTTCTCGACATCGCACGCAGAGTTTACACTGAAATTGTAGACGACATTGCAGGTTCTTTAGTAAAAATTCTCTTGTATCATTTGTATGATGCATCCATATGTGATGGCTTTGTGTGCGTCCTTTTGCTGTGTATAGGTCTTGTGAACAAGTTGGGGGAGAAATACGGCTTTCCGTTGCGCACTAGTTTCAGTACGATCCGGGGATTCTTTATCCAGATGAAGCTGGATGGAGTGGGCTTACCTGAGGGCAAACTACCCCCAGAGTTCATCAAGGTAGGATTCTTTTAAAACGATTCCCCAAGCAGACTAAGTTGTGGAGAGACAGAGGCACACAGTGGAGCACTACTAGGTAGTAAAATAAACTAAACTAACTTCAGTAATTACTAAAGCTGCTTCTTGGAAATCTTCTATTTCAGGTCACCAAGCAGAAGAACAGCTATGGCTTTACCACTGCAGACCTGATTAAGATGAATGGTCGCTGTGATGAAGCGCTGAGGGAGATATTCCACATGTCTTATGTGTGAGAAGACAACTATCCTTTCACCAACAACTTTATAACTAATTTAAACCGCACTGATTAATTTCAATTTAAAACATGTTTTTCTACTAGGGCTGTTCTTCCCTAAAGAAAATCAAATATAAGGGCATGATTAGTAAATTCATTGTCTCATTATATCCAACAATGTCTTTGTAAAAAATGACTGTACCTTTCAGATCTTTGAAATATTTCACTGAAACGTTTTAGTGTGAAAAAATTTTTCACAGCAAAACAATACATGTTTTAGTCACTAAAACCATAACCAGCAACCCAACTGGAATATTTTAGTGAGAAAAAGCTTTTGAGGCTTGTCTCTATCATTAAATGTCCTCTGGAGGGTGCTATTTAAAAGGTCAAATTTATTATACTCCTCGTCTGTGTTTCAATAGGGTAATATGCCAACTTCTTACAACCATCCATGAGCACATCCACTGCCTGTACAAACTTTCTGACACTGTATCCATGTTGGACATGTTGCTCTCGCTGGCCAATGCATGCACAATCTCAGACTACGGTAAGTGGAAACCAGTTTAATCAATGATAGCGATAGTAAAAACCTTGAGCTTTTTAACATTTTGTCACATAGCAGAGACAAACATCAGTGTATTTTATTGAGATTTTTTGTGGTAAACTAGTTTTGTCACTCCACAAATCTGGCACTGTTGTAGATGACACTGAAACAGTGAAAGTGGTCGGGAAGGTAAGGATTTTGTTCCACAACTGATTATTGTTGGGTTGTTGGTTCCAACTTTCGCTCTACTTATATCAGTCATTTCGTGGCTCTGATTAATTGGCAGCCTACCTTCCATAATCAGTGATTGTTGTCTAGATATGTACAAGTACAAGCCACTTACCGTCACCCTAATCAGACCATTTCCATGGTGGACCATTGTGGTGGAAGCATCATGCCACCACGCTGCAAAAACACAAAATCTTACTAAGTATGGCCTAGTTCCTAGTAAAAATATTGTAGTCCACTTGAAATAAGACAAAACTAATAAATTACTTATCTGCACAATATAGGAGCTTGTTTTAAGTCAATAATGAATAAGTACGAGCTATAAGTAAAACAATCTGCCAGTGTAATAAGGTATTTTTCTCGTGTTAGAAGGTAAAATGCAAGGAGCAGTCTTGTTAATAAAAAATCCAAATAAAATTGATTAAAATTTGCAGATTGTAATCATTAAGTGACAAAATGTGAAAACGTTCATACTGTATTACCACTTTTCCAGTGCTGTGTACTCAGTATTACCTCCATGAGGTTTGATCTGCTGTCTAGAGGAAGGTGGCTCCATTAAACTGCCATGAACTGCTTGCTCTACTAAGCCTGACTCTCTGCTGGGCTCGGTTCTATTTGCATGTGGCTCCACCCCCATCAGCCACGTGGGTGGCGATTGCTGACCCTCAGCTGTCTGAAACTGTCTTTCCATTGATGCATGCTGACTGCCTGCCCCCCTTCTGTCCAAGCCAGCTTGTACTCAGATTACCCTTCTTACATAAGCCCTCACTGATGTGCTGTATTTGCAGAGACAACTGCAGCCGCCAACTGTCTGTAACCGGTGCATATTTTCACACAGAAATGGCTGGTTTTATGCTACTGTGGCTTATTTTACAACCAGCTTTCGGCTAATCAGGCATTTATTTAAATACACTGATGGATTCAGAATATTGCAAATGCTTTTACAGTATTTTGCTATTGTTGTCACTGATATGCCTGGAACACAAAACAGCAGACAAAAGTGACGTGATTGTGCTGTTCTGCTGTGGCCGCCAGTGCGTCCAGAGTTTACAGACACCTTGGCCATCAAACAAGGTCGTCACCCCATCTTGGAGCGAATGGCCCGACAGCAGCCTGTCTCAAACAATACCTACATCTCAGAGGGCAGCAACTTCATCATCGTAACAGGACCAAACATGAGCGGCAAATCTACATACCTCAAACAGGTTGCGCTGTGTCAGATCATGGCCCAAATAGGTCAGCAGCTTATATTCTAACCTTGTAAATTGTGCCCTGTGCTTAGCTTAATCTTGCATCATGACTTCTGTGTTTATGTTCTTCAAGGCTCTTTTGTCCCAGCGGAGTATGCCTCTTTCCGGATTGCTGATCAGATTTTCACCAGAATTGGTGTTGATGATGATTTTGAAACCAACTCCTCTACCTTCATGTTGGAAATGAAGGAGGTATAAGGGCTTTTTGGCTTTTTTTTTTCATAAAGGTTGCACAGATTACTTCATGTGATATCAAAATTAAGGCTTAACACTTTTTGTTTCTTTCAGGTCTCTTACATAATCCACAATGCAAGTGACAGGTCATTGACCATCATAGATGAATTGGGGCGTGGCACTAGTGCTGAAGAAGGCATTGGAATTTGTCATTCAGTTTGTGAATTCCTCCTTGGCCTAAAGGTGAAAAATGCACCAGTACAGTTGAATTCTGCCACTCCCCTTTCTGAATTAAAAACTAGATCATTCAGATTCCTTTGCTGTTTCTTAGCCATTTATCTCCTTTCTAATAGCTTTTAATACACCTTCCTGGTGAATGTAAAGCAGCAGAACAAACAAAGGCATCCGACATAATAGGTGTTTTGAAGGTGTGCCCGGTTTTCCTTCTTTGCAAGGCGTTCACTCTGTTTGCCACACACTTTCTGGAGCTCTGTCAGCTAGAGTCTCTCTACCCTAACGTGGAAAACCAGCACATGGAAGTTCAACACACACGCAACAGAGACTCTGGTGCTGAGCAAGTGGTGTATACATATCTGCTGAGTCGAGGATGCTCCGAAGAAAGACAATACGGTAACCGGTCTGTGTATTTCAGGAACAGTGTTGTTAAAGTTTGATATGAAAGTCATTACAAGACACAGTTTTTTCTGATTTAGGTTTGAGAGCAGCTGCGATTACCTCACTTCCTCAGAGTATAATCCAAGAAGCGAAATTGGTTGCCTGTAAAGTCAGCCAGCAGCTTCTGGTAATGTTCATAAAGATCAGATTTAGACATTTTGTTCTGATAGTTCTGTAATAGGTTATTCATACCCCTGAAACTAATGTGTTTCAGCTTTAAACTTCTCTCTTGTATGGGGAATTTATATGATAAATAAAACAAAATCAATTGCAAATTTGTGGAGAACTTTTTTACTGATAAAAATCCAAAAATTGTGACATGCATAGCTTAATCTGCTTTGAGTCCAAAGTTTTAAAAACTATTTTTTGTTGCAAAGCCAGCTGATAGTCTTTCCAGTTTTGCACATAGAAACATTTTGACCCATTCTGTGAAAACAGCTCAAGCTCAGACAGACGACTCAGACATCAATATCTTTTGCAACCCCTTAACAGCAGCAGGTTTTCTCTAGAATTAACTCAATTAATGCTCTTTCTAAAATGATTTCCTATCCCTATGTTTGAAAATAGGCATCTGTATTCAGGAGGATATTCATTTTTAATTTTTCACATGGTATGTGGATGTATGCCCTTTTTGCCCAGGTCTGTCAGTTTAGGTGGATGACCTTGCCTTGGTAGCATTGCAGATGTCATACTCTTTTCATTTTAATCTGCTGAACTAAACACATAGTGACATGTCAGGATAAAGTCCACACAAATGGGCTCTTTTAGATGACTTCTGAAGGCAGTTGTTGCCTGGATTTTATTTAGAGAAATTAGAGTAAAATTGTCTGAATCTAACTTTTTATAATTTCACTTGCCACGTGTCACTTTCCCCTCACTTCAATATTATTAAATATTTCCTGTTGCTCTCTGCCAAACATCTATTGTAAAGTGAGAAACTTAGTAAAACCTCATGGGATGGAGTGTGGTTTTTCATGCTAGTGAAAATATTTGCCACCATATTCTATAAAGATTTTGCACTTACGCTGTTAAAAGTGTGTAAGTACATAGGCTGACATTAAGCTGCCCCAATGCTAACAGTATTTTTCTGACATGACATTAATAACTGGACATTTTAAAATAATACATTTTAGAAATAGCCTAAAATTAGCATCTGTTTGACACTTTCAGGCCAAACGTCCCACTGATCCAGAAACACAGAGACAGAGAGCTGTGTACCACCTGGCAACTCGCCTCTTGCAGACTGCCAGAAATTCAAGATTGGATCCGGAGAGCCTGCGTATGTATCTGAAAGGACTGAAGAAGCAGTATGAGGCAGAGCTGCAGGCTGCAGCCCCAGCAAAGCTCAGTGACACAGAGGAGGAATGAATGACTCTGCCCTTCTTTAGGAAGATAACTGTCCTTTCATTGTTATTGACCAAACCTTACATGTTTAATAACTGTTGTTTTTAATTCTAACTGGTGTTATTTATTTGATAAGTTATTCTGCCTGGGCAGCTATATTAGTTTGATGATTTCCCTGTTATTCTGTATTGTTTGGTGTTTTCTGAAAATAATTGCTGGCTGATTTTATCAATTCAATAACATATGAATTGGTTATGCAGTAGTTTTTGTTGTTTTGGATGTTATGGAAAAACTATGAAATCTTCCATTTCCAATATTTTTCTATGTTTGTGGTTTTTTAAATTTTTTATAAGAGCAAACATATTTGCAATAATCATAAAAAATCTAAGCAAAAGATGAAATAAAAAAGCAATAAAATGTTAAATTAGCAATAAACCAAATGATACCTCAAAATTAAAAACAACACAAGAAAACTTGTATACACAATAGAATCATACTTGGCATAAATATTTTAACTTTTACTTGACTATTTAATTGCAACAGTGTTTCGTACATATGATCAATAAACCATAAGAACTAACACCAAAAGACCCCAAAACAGAAAACTGTCTTTTATCTCAAAAAAGAACTTTGAACAACAAAGCAGCAATCCAGTCCGTTTTCTCTTTTGCTCATGAACGGCACCTTTGGCATTGTCTTGTCTAGGGTGACTGATCACAACAAATGCAACACATGTGGCCTAGGTCCTTGAAGTCACTTGAAGCATTGACTCTAACAGTAATCCATAACGCTTTTTTAAATCTCCCCAAACTTATACTTTACTTCACAACCCTCTCAAGGTTGTAGTTATCTTTACTTGTTGACTTTTTTCTATTACTGATTTTTTCCTTCTACTCAACTTTCTAATAATGTGTTTAGATACTATGTAAGTAACATAGTATAATAACATAATAACATAGTGGCAAAACTTTTTGTATTGGTTATGTGTAATAGTCTAATATTCTGAGACTATCTGATTAAGACTGTAAGTCTTAATCATCAAAATTAACAGAAGTAATCATAAAAATATACTATTCTTTTTAATTAATATATACATATACCCCTACTTGATACTTGAGATAAATATACATATAAATACATATATCATGTATGGAATATTTTTTTATTTTCTTTTTTGTCCAAAATCAACGTATGACGTATGACTACTTGTTCCGCCGGTGTATGTCGGCTCACAAATCGAGCGCTCCCATCAGGCTGCTTATGACCCGCCCCCGCAAACCAGAAACAGCGGAGCAGAGAGTGTGACGGAAAGCGCAGGAGAAAGCCAGGCTGGAGCTGCCCTGGGAAGTCGAGAGTGTAGCAGAGTCAACGCAGAACAACGCCAATTAACCACTAGCAACGGAAAGAGACAACTGAAGCCACAGGTACTCACGACTGCGGTTTCCCTAGGTGTTATCGGTAATTGTTGGTGAGAATAACCGCTTGTCCCGGTCAGGGCTGCTCTTTAGCTTGTCACGCAGGCCTGGGAACGGGCCGCAGCGGAAGAGTTAAGCAGTGCGCCGGGTCAGAGATTTAAAGAGAGGGAGGCTGGGATAGTACGAGGCCTGTCAGGGAAGAGGTCCACGCCTCCAGAGAGCAATGAGTGTTTCTGAGTGGGATCCAAACTATTCCTCCTACTCACTGTCTTGGCCAGCTCATTTATAGTGACAAATATTTCCGGTGTATTAAACTTGACTGACCGGTTAGCATGATGGTGGTCAACCGTTAGTTAGCTCTGTTAGCTAGCTCATTCATAGTCCCTCTGAACTTAAAAGAACATTTAGAAAGTGAGCTCATTCACACTGACAACGTCCGGTTCACAGGACAAGCCCTGTCAGGACATTTTGGGGAAGTGAGGTTGTGAGCATTCTTGCTTGCTGCTTCTGGTGACTAATTTCATAGCGTTGAAAGTATCACACCAGTAAGAAAAGACACCTTCATGGTTCTTTCGTTTTTTGGGGTGTAGCTTCTGAGTTGACGTGGAACCAGCTGCCATCACTCGCCCTGCGGTTAATGTTAAGCATGACCAAGCAAGCTAGCACATTTAGTACTGCACCTGAAAGTGCTGAGGTGGTGTAAAGGATACCATCCTGTGTCAAAGACAAGTTGAGCTACTGTAAACTATTTCTGGTATTTACACTGAGTGACATTTGTGCTGCCAAACCCTTCATGTATTGTAAGTGTCCTTGTGACATTTAGGCCTCTTTGATGCTCGGGGGACTTTGGACTCATTGGAAAGTCAACCAGGATCTACTTAGAAACTTAAAAAGCGCAAAAATTTAAATTCTCCTCCATTCTGACTTGATGTTTGTTTTGGCTTGTTGTTTCCCTTTATCTGATCCTTATATACTGATAAGTTATTTCTCAAGGTTGTTTTGCCCAGATTGAGTAAAAAATGAAAGCACTGCTTCTGATTAATGTTTTCCTCCATAACCAGGCAGCTATACCGTGTACTTTGATTCATTCACTTTATGAACCAGTTTATGATAGAACATTATCAATAATCTACCTTGCATGAGAGCTTTTTCTCTGACTGGAGTTCATGTCTCTGTATGAGTGTATTAAGACACACTGTCCAGTTTGTATGTAGGCATGGTCTGACAATTGTATCAAATCATCTTCATTAAAATTTGAGACAAAATAGTGTAACATAATGTGATTGCTTTTATTTAAAACAAAAAATGCAATGTTACTATAGTAACAGGAACATATGTTGCTGTAGTAACAAGTACATAAATGACAGTTAAATTAATGCATAATTAGTAACTATAAAATGGTGTTGATTTAGTAGCAATGGTTAGAGTAATCTTAAATCCCTAAACTCCTGTTATTTTGTTTTAAAAAAATAGTTTTTGTGTAAAACTCAATTGGTTTAGTTAATTTTCATTCATAGGTTCAGGTTAAGCAAATATTTACTTATTTTACTGTTTTAGTTGGTGTTTTTAAGCAGCTTGTAGCCATTTCAGAGATGTTAACTTTAGAGTGTTGCATGGCCTTGTTTTGGACTTGAGGCAGGATAGTTATCAGGACTTGCCTCTGTGTCCTCGCCTGCAAAATCAGGAGGCCTGGCCAGCCAAGTGGGTAGATTCCGGGGAGCCAACAGCCCGAGAGGGCTTTGTCCTCCAGGCTCATTTCAATGCTGGAACGAGGCTCCAGCTCCATAGGGGAATGCATGAAATCTCCATTCTTAGTCCCAGGACTGGGAGAAAGTGAGAAGAAAACGAAAGGAAACAAGCCTCAGACTTTCACACCACCTACTCCACCCACTGCCTCTGTGCCAACAGTCAATGTTGCTTCAAGGATTACTGACAGTTTGAAAGAGTTTACATTACAAGTTAGGTTTTGAAGATGTTTTCTATAGGAGGTCCATATAGTGTGTCCAGGGTCATGTCTGGGTCTTTTCTTCCTGGTAGGATGTGCTCGAAACCTCTAACCAGGATGGCATCTAGGAGCACTTTAACTGGCTCCTCCGCTTTTCTATTCTGCAAAGCAGCCCAATTATAACTGTGAGAAAATGAGGGAGCCATTAAATAAATTACATACTTCTTAATAAGATCACTGGGTTGATGCTGTTTAAAAGGCAAACAGATCATAGAGGAAGAGAACGCAAATGTGCCACACAGAGTTACTGATTGACCGGACATCAGAACCACTCAAATATTCTTTAATTAGACGTAATTATCTATTGGCAATTGCGTTTCTGAAAAATCAGATCTTTTTTCTATCTTAATTTAGGCCAACAAACGCACCAAACATTTTAATGCTCTTCTATTTAGATGAAAAACAATCTAAAAGTAGCGAGCATGAATTTGGATGAATAAATAGGAGATAATCTCCTATTTTTGACTGGGTTCAGACTACTAGAAGAAAATGGATGTCAGTCCCGACTCAGACCAAGTCAGCAGTTAATTAAACCGCTATTGAAATCCAGCATCAGGATGTATCTGATTGAGCTATTAAGCACTTTAGAAATGCTTTGCCGGCAAATATTTAGGTTTTTTCTTTTTTTTAAATGAAAAGTTTGATTTTACAGCCAAACAAAGCTAAGCTCGCAACAGACCTAATTGTATGTCTCTTTTTCTGTTGTGAAATGTGATCAGAAGTTTTGGAGGCAGGAGTGAAACACAATCAGCGCTGCACTGTGAGACTAAGCCTGTCGGTGCTTAGAAAGCCCTGCAGTGGAAAGTTATTCTTAAATCTATTATCATGGGTAATCTTCTTAATCCAAATTACTAAAGGCCTGCTCTACGACACTGACTCCTATGCTGAACGTTGGCCACAGCTCTTGATTTATTTATATCTTTTTCCTATCTATCAGCTTCTCTACCTTAAAAGAGATTTTTGAGATTGTTTTAACAGGAAAAACTGTAATTTAGTGAGTAATAGTAATTGAATTATGAGAATAAAGTTGTAATATTAGAGAATAAAGTTGTAATTTTGAGAAAAATAAATGAAAATCAGGAGTTGGATGTGGAATAAATTTTGGGAGAAAATTTTTAAGCCAGAGATTTTTGTGAATTAATATTTTTATTTTATTTTTATAAAAATATTAAAATAAATATTATCCCTAAAAATCTAGTGGTATATATTTTTACATAGAAATGATTCTGCATGGAAATGGCATAATTCTTCCTTCACCACATTGCTGAATGTGAAGCTAACTTCTGCACCATGCTTTCATGATTTGCAGAATATGCTAACAAAACCCAAAAAGGAGCTGATGGGGAAAATAATCTAAAAATTTGAGTCTAGAACATAAATGGGAACTAGGAAGAGCAATGGCACATTTTTCTGAAGAATGTGTTTTGTGGATTTTAAATTGATTACATCTGAGGCTATTGTGTTCTCAGTGATATCTAAAATGTAACAGATGAATGTCCTCTCTCCTGGCATAAAGGACTGAAGTTCCTGGCTCCAGCTGGAGTGGTGTTCAGCCTCTGACACTTTCATGTCGGTATATTTTTGCCCCTTTCAAATCCAATCCCAGTGTAAGTTTAGAACAGCAGGGGCTTGTCCTTACGGAGGCCGAACGGCAGGGAAGTGGCTAAATGAGAACGCAGGCTACGAATGTTAGCCTAGTTGCCTTTTGCTTGGTATTGACCTATTTTGTTTCTATTTCAGTCTGAATGAATGAAGCAGACATTTTAAATATTTGCTTAACATTTTCAGCTTTAACAGAATAGTTTTCAGTTCTCTGTTCGCTCTGTAAACTTACAGTATGTAATGAAGACATTAAGCTGTCTGGCAGGGGCAGTGTGGTCTAATTGGATCATATTGCTAAGATAGGGTAAGGTCAGTTCTCACTCGCCACCCTCTTAGCATAAACAACGACCTACTGCACAACGAATAATGTCATACAGAAGCACAGATTTATATGTGGTTAGAAAAAGAGCAAAAATCAAGTATGTTGGATGAAAATGTGCAACAGACTAAAAGCATGGTTTCAGGTTTCTATGTAGTCTTAATGACCATGCACTTTATAGACATTTTATGATTCATTTGAGATTTTTATTTTGGATGATCAGAAATGACACACATGGGTTTAAAATTATGCACACTATCTCAAATATATAGACTGTCTTCCACTGATCTTAGGAGCAATGTTTCTTAGTAAATTTCTCTTCAAGTGAAAGCTTTTTGTAGCCATCAGTTTGTGGTAGAGTTCTCCCTAGGGCTGCAACTAATGATTACTTTACTGATCGGTTATTCTATTCATTTTTCTGATGATTAATTGGATTTAAGATATGACACATTCTACAGATTTTTCATGTAAACTTTTAAACTTTCTTTTTGTAAAGAAACCGATTACTCAGTTTCTATTTTAAATAAGAAAGACAATGTTATTTTAGAAAAAGAAATAACATTGTTAGGAAATGGGAAATAATTTTGTGAATTTGATCAAGGTAAACAAAATTATGCCACATGAAGAGTTTGAGGATTTTCTTTTAAGCGAATGGCGTTTTTAGAATATGTATATTGCAGTTAATGATTAATCAGTTGTTAATTAGTTGATGATTATTTCAATAGTTGATTAATCACAATTGTTTCAGCCCTAGACCACTCCTCTTGGGTTTCTACTGGTTTGAGGTTATTCTAGAAACCTTGTCAAGTTTTAGCCACTTTAGAACCACTTTTAATTTATTTGTAACCCTCATCTTATTGGAAACGCAACTGTTGAAGTCTCACCTGTCCAACCCCGACCGTTCTTTTTGTTCTTCTCCTTAGAATGGCGATGGATATCTATGACTCTCAGTACCTTCTCATCCTGGCCCCCACACTGGTCATCGCCCTCATGTTCCTCTTCTTCTGGCTCTTCATGAAGGAAACCTCTTATGATGAGGTGCTGGCTCGGCAGAAGCGAGATCTCAAGCTGCCGCCGACCAAGCCAGACTCTCGTAAGAAGAACGAAAAGAAGAAAAGCAAGAAGAAGGAATCCGCTGGCGGGGGAAGCGGTGGAGGTGGAGGAGAGTCTGAAGAAGACCTGCGGGAAATTGACTTGACTGACGGCATTGGCTCTAACATGGAGGCAGAGAAGGAACCTGAATCCGTGGGTACCCCGGATCCATCCCCGCCTGCACCTGCTGCCGAAGTTTCAGTCTCTCCAGAGGCTACTTCTGGGCTAAGGGAGAGGAAGAAAAAGGAGAAAAAGGCTGCCAAGGCTGCTGCCAAAGCTGCTGCTGCAGCAGCTTCCAACCTAGAGGAGTCAGAAATGAACGACTCAAAGCCAGTCAGCCACAAGACAGAGACGTCTCCAACTTCAGGCAAACGAATAAACCCACCTCCTCCCCTGGTGGAGACACAGGTTCAGGTCCAAGCTGTTCAGGCTCCTGTTCAAACTCAAACTCCTCCCCAAACCTCTGGGAAGAAGAAAGACAGGAAGAAGCAGAAAGTGGAGGCGGGTTAGTAAATAAGTGATGTTTATAGCAAAGGAAAAGCCTTGAGTGTAAATATCAAAGTTTCAATGCATCCTAATATTGACACAAAGATCTTAAACCAATATATGCTGCATGATTGACTGTGCTAATATTTCCATAATAGATGAATTGGTCTGTATCATAATTGATTGAAAAGTGTTTCCCTAAATGTTCTTTCCATTTCAAGCAGACGTCCAGCAGCTTGAGGTGAAAGCAGAGCAAGCTCCAGCTCCAAGCAAAAAGGAAGCTCCTTCTGTGGCCGAAACCAAAGTCCTTGACGGTGCCAACCCAATGGCTGTCACTGGCAAAAAGAAAAACTCTGCCAAAAAGCAGAAGACAGAGCATGGTAAAAATGATCAAAACAATCTCACTATCTTGAGTCAGATGGCAGTTTCTTTAAGGCTTATAGGTTAAATCTTTTATTCCCTTAAACAGTAGTAGAGGAAACCCACATTTTGGGAGATGCATCTGCCTCCAACCACCAGGTAGCTCATAATGATGACGTACCACCTAAAGCATCTGCCAAGAAACAGAAGAATGAGACTGATAAAGGTAAGAAGTAGTTTAGATTTTTTTTAACCCTTTTTGGCCAGCTGTGGCTAGCAAAGTTTATTTCATTAATTTAGGTTACAAAAGTATAACTCCTGCATTTATTTCACACAGAGTGATATAATTCAAGTGTTGACTCCTGTTAATTTTGGCTTATGGTCTCCAACCATTTTTATGGAATGCTGAGTGGAAGGAAAACATTTGGTAAAGAAAGGTGCACAAAGCTTTTCTTGAGCTTACAGGAGAGTCCCAAGGACTTGACTGTAGCTGGAGTTACCGCACACAGACCTTTCGAGAGCAGGAGTTGCAGCTGCTACATTCTTTGTGTTAAGCCACTGCTAAACCAGAGGCATGATGAGTGTTGGCTAAGAGTTGGACTGATGCTCTGTGGTCCAGTCTGATATTCAGACCAAAGGAAAGTTTTGCTTTTCATTTTGAACTGCCGTATTAAAGAGGAAGAGTAGAGAAACTCAGATTTCAAGTAGCTTGAGGTTCAATGTAACGTTTCCAGATTTAGGGAACCCTGTCATATACTGGTGGTGGAGAAGCTAATTTTATTTTTCAGTTGTGGTTAAATTCTGAGGTTATATACAATTGAATTATTTTTTTTGAATAGACTAAAATTTGTCTATTAAAGATATATGTTTATTCTTCTTCCAAATTCCTTTTTTTTTTTTTTTTGGCAATTTTTCAACCATATGTTTTCCTACCACTCAACTTTCCTCAAACCTAACTGGCTGAGCACTGTTTGCAATCTAATATATGTTGGTGTGGTTAGGTTTTGTAGCTCAGTCAACCAGAGTTCAAAGCTTCATTATCTGTAAAACATTTACAGACCTTTTATTGCATAAATAAACTGCAGCAGCAATCTTTTTGTGAATTAGCAGGGAACACAGAAGTGAAACTGAAGGAGCTGCTTTCTGGTCTGTCCAGCCTGGCTTTGTCAGAAGCGGAAGCTATCAGTGTGATCGCTCTCCTCCGAGAAAAGAGCCCTACTGCCCTAGAAGCCTGGAACAAAGTAAGATCACTGGACCACAAACCACACAACTGTAACAAATGGCATGTCTTAATATTTGTATGCAGCTAAAAAATCTGAAAATCATTACTGAACTTAAAGTGTCTGCTTTTCACTTCTCCTCTATCACTGTGACCTCCAGTCCACAGCGAGGCCCGACCCGGCGGCCCAGGAGAGAGAGAAACTTCTTGTGACTCTGCAGGAGGAATCTTCTATCGCCAAAGACAAAGTGAAGCAGCTCAGTCAGGTCAGAAACGCTCTGAAGAATCCCACAATCCATCCTAAGGTTTGGATTGTTTTGTTAAGCTTTCCCTTGTGTTTTTCTTTTATTCTTTAGGAGCTTCAGCTTGAGAAACAGAAAACTGGCAGAATGGAGGCCATGGTGAGAGAGCAGCGAGTCGCAATGGAGAAGGAGTTGGGCGGCATGCAGGCCAAAGCACAGGGCAGCTACCAGGAGCTACAGAATATGCAAAAATCGGTGAAACCTAATGTTCTCCTCTGTTCAGTAAAATAGCTTTAATTTAGTAACGGATGTTAAATGTAACTTGTTGCATGGTGTTTGTATGTAGTTTCAGCAGGTGAGGGAGCAGTTGGAAGCCCAAATCACTCGGCTGCAGCAGGAGAACGGGATCCTGAGGGACGCTGTCAGCTCAGCCACCACTCAGATGGAGAGCAAGTCAGTGCTGCACTTCTGGGTCAAATCTGTCAGAATCTAACTGTTTGAATTATTATAGTGCATTCTATTAAAGTGTGTACTATATTTGAATCCAGTTGAAAAACTTGGAAATCATTTTTGAATGATTTCAAAATAATTATATTTCTGTGACAATTTTGTAGCATTAAAGGCTTCAGGCCTTCCTGAAGTACTTTATAATTATGATTTAGATCAGTGGTTCTTGCACTTAATACACGAAGCTAATACAAAGCTAAGTGCAAAGGTGTCACTTTGCACTTAGCTTTCAAATAATACCAACATTTATGCAGAATACCACCGAAGGTGACTCAACTCCCGCCATCAGTTCATCCATGAATCTGTCAGGGCTGCTGGTGGTATCTGGGTGGCCTTTACTTGGACTCTTAGTAAATTTTACTATTGATTGTTTGCAAGTTAAATATAAACAAATCAAGTGTGTGTGGTTATTTGTTCCATTTTGTTTTCTGTTTTTCCTAGTTTCCAGGACACCAATTTCCTTTAAGAGATAATAAAGATGATTGATTGATGATACTTATACTATCAAGATTGAACATTTACATTTATTTCATTCTGTTAGTGAGTTGGTTTGATTTCTTAATATTATTTTATAAAATAGTTTTTTCAAGTAGATGTTTTTTGTGTTTCTATATGCTTGTTGGAAATCAGTATTAATCTGCCTTTGCGTATGAAATATCCAATATATACTACACCTTTTCACACTGAAATATGCTTTCAGTGGGTTGCTGATAATTTGCTTCTTCAACAGTTTCCCAAAATTTTGCCCCATGAGCAGTTTTCACCTCACATTCTTGACAGGAATTCTGCAGAGCTGAACAAGCTGCGCTCCGAGTACGCCGGCCTGATGAAAGAACTGGCAGACAACAACAGCAAGTTGCAGCAGGAGGAACACCAGAGGAAGTCACTGGAGGTCAACTACAAGCAGAACGTGTCTCAGCTGGAGGTATGCTAAGCCAGATGTGTGTGTTTACCTTCTGCTGCAGGGTCCGTCGGCACAGAATAGTGCAGCTTAGCTTCAGATCTAGTCAGTGGGTGTGGCAGCATTAGTGGGGAAGCAGTGAGGGAAACTGTAGTAAAAGTCCAAGGGTGGGTTGTGGGAAACAAAACCTCAGATGGGTGGGTTTGCTTGCTTAGGAAGCTGAAATGTTTGAAGCTTTGTATAAACACGACTTTTTCCTGTAAAATACTCGGATCAACCCTTCCTGTTGGCCTGATGCAGACAAGTCTTTGCAGTGAACTTCAGAGGTACACCAAGCCTTAGGTTTCACAGATTTTAACCTCAATAAGGCAATTTAAAGGGGTCTACATATATTTCCACTCAGATGTTTATATACACTTATCATTAGGAGTGAGCAATATGAATTAAAAGTTTATCTTGATATGTTGTGTTAATATTGCGATAACGATAAACGTGATACAATTTATTACTTTTTAGATAACTGTATAATTGTGACTGTGACACATCAATCAGAGCCGCACAAACACAAATACTGACCTTTAAAACAAACCTTTCCCATTTGTAATACGCTTCTTTAGGATACCAATCAACTGCTTTTAATCATATTTTCAGGTTTATTGGTATTTATTAATGTTTTAATTGGGTAAACAGTAGAGAAAATGGTAAAGCTGACAATTCTGGCAATACAGACAGATTTGGGGCATTAAAACATCATTAATTGTAATTTATCAGCGCAACAATAAATCAAAATTCGTATAACAATAAATTATTATGATAAATACAATATGATAAATCGCCGGCCCTACTTATTAGCTATTACTCTCTCACTCTTAAGCATTTAGAGATGAGTTTGAGCCATTCCCTCTCCAAAGTGTAAAGATTATACAACAACTTTCCTGAATTAAAAAAGAACTGGGTGTCCATTTTGATGTATAGAATAATCTCACTAATTAGTTTAAAGGCATTCAAAGTAGTAGGTAAGTACATTTTATATTCTAATAAATATCTTTTAGAATGTTGCATTTCAACTGTACACTTTTTGTTCCCATGAGCATAATTTCATTTTCTTATTTGACCAGTCAAATAAGAAAATGTTTTTCTGGTAGAGCTGTGGCTTTTAGACATGGTGGATACATTTTGAGTTAGATTGAGGCCAAAGCCGTTTCAGAAGCATATTGTGGCCTTATTTAGAAAACCTGACTGTGTCCTTTTGACTCATCTGACCCAGACTGTCACATCGGATGAAGAGAAATGGGTCTAAATATTTATGAAGAACTCTAAAGCCACCAAGGCACAAGGCAATATTTAACTGAATGTTGCAAGAAAAGTGGCACCAGTGAGTGAAATTTCACTTCATTTAGTGCCTGTACACTGGGACATTGCACACAAAATGGAAGAGAAAACCAAAATCAACATCTGGATGGTTGAAACTTGGGCCCATTTAAATGTTTCAACAGTTAATGATCCAAATGAAAAACTAGTTTTGGAATGGATAAAACAAATAAGCATTGAGATCCTGGAAATATTGATATTTATAAAGATATAGATGCTGAGATGCCTTATGTAAGAAAACAAACATTCTTCTGCTATGCCTTTTGTTATAAAGTTGCTTGATTCCTCGTCATTCCCAGGCCCAGTTACAAGATGCCAAGAGAAGCTGGGAAGAGTTGCAGAACTTCCTCCACAATGTCAACGCTGAACGAGAGAAGCTTCAGGCCTCTAAGCAAGGTCACTAAACATCCTGTCACAGAAAACATTATATATTCTCAGTCCTGTTCAAGTGAAGTGACTTGATGTCTTTTAAAAGACCTTCACAGCCAACTTCTGGCAGCTGAGACGGAGATGAACAACAAAAACAAGGAACTCCAGACTCTACACAGCAATCTGAATGAGGCCATGCTCTCCAAAGAGCAGCTGGAGCGGAGGGTGATGGAGCTGATGGACATGTCCCAGCGCAGTGTGCCAGATGAAACTGTGCAAGCACAGGTTCAAGTAGGCTCCTATGACCAATTCAGAATATTACTGAAAATAAATCACACACTCCATTTGAAAATAACTCTTCAAATTTGTTTTATTAGGAACTTAAGAATGAGAACAAAGCTCTTCAGGCTCAGAATGAAGCACAAAAATCCCAGAATGAGAACCTGCAAGCTCAGATTTCTTCACAGGTGTGGACCAGCTTTACCTGTCTTTTCTTTCTCTTTTGAAAGCAATAAGATTAAAACCTACATATCTGAGTGCAAGTAGGCTAATGAGATTTCTCTGTTCAACATTTAGGCCAAACATGTGTCCCACATTGAGGAACTACAGAAGCTGTAAGCAAGTCTTTTACCCTTGCATTGCACCAAATGTGTTGGCATCAGAGATTGTCACAGTAATCGTTTGTATTTGAATATTTTTTCCTCTATCTAGGCTGTCTGAAAAAGAGCTGCAACGGAAGAGTCTGGAGGATTCTCTTAATGCTGAGAGGAGCAGCGGAGCGAGCAGAGAAACTAACATGCAGGTATGTTTTAAAGCTTCAGGTTCCTGTGCTAACATGTCACTGGTTAGTCTGTAGGCAGTTTATCACAATGTTTTCTATCTGCTGGGAAGACATTTTGTTGACGTTCATTTGCAAGATTATTCACATTTCTTAGTTTTTTTTCCACTTGACTTCATCTTGCAACCATGAACTGCTCTGTAGGTTGTTGGAATATTATGAGATACACTGAGAATAATTGAGAACTGGAAGGAAAAGGATGCATGGATATCAACATTTTTTACAGCACAATTAAAACATTTTAAAGTGTGCCAAGAATTTATAATCAGACCTCTGTAATGTGTTCAACCAGTTGCCTTCAGAAACCAACTTATTGGTAAATGAAGTAAACCTGTCTCATCGGTACTCTGTATAAATAGTCCTATTGAGACCTCAAATATTTGTTAGAGAATGTATCAAACAACTTAAGGGAAAAGTTGTAGAGAAGTCTAAAGATGGGTTGGGTTTTAAAACGACATCCCAACTGTCACAAGATCAGGTTTTGCTGGAAGATACATTGATAAATTGGAGTTAAATGTGATTATTGAATGTATTGATTCAGTGGGACTGGACACAAATGCATGTCATACTTTTCAAATTTCTTTTTGTAAAGCATGTTAAAATCGTTCCTTCCACTTCTCAATGATGCACCACTTTGTGTGATCTGTCACATGAAATACCAATAGAAACAGAAATTTATGGTTTAATGTGACCAATTTGACAAAGTTCATGGATTGAGTATTTCAGAAATCTACAGAGTTGTTTTGTCTTTTAGACTTTGCACAATGAGAACTTGTTGCTGAAGGCAGAGATTCAGAATCTGCAGGCACAGATTACTGAACAGGTTAGCTGCTGCTTTGTTTTTTTTTTATTTTTTGTTAAACACATTCAAAGACCCTTTACATTATTCTTCTTTATTACACACCTAAACATATTGGCTTTGATTCTTCCCTTTTCAGAAAGCTTCCCAGCTGGCCTTGGACCAGATCCAGAAGAGGTAGGTGTGGAAAAAAAACCATATTTTTGTTGCTGGTGACTTTTGTCTATGAAACAAAAGATCTGTAGTGAAAAGCTGCTTCCTCCACAGTGTCCAAGAGAAAGAGGAGAACATGAAAACAGTTGAGGGACTATTGGAGGAGGGGTTGATTCAAGTGGCCAACAAAGAGACAGAGCTGAAGGTAATGCCAGTTTTTAGAAAAGAACAGTTTTTATTTTGTGAACATTTTGATATTGTTCCCTGTTCTTTTTTTTTTGTTTGTTTGTTTTGTTTTGTTTTGGGGTTTTTTAATCAGAAAATTGACTTTCTTCCCCCAAAACTGCAGAGTATGAAAGTTGAAAATGAGGCACTAAGGCGTGAAATAGATGACCTTAATAAAAAGAAGCAGGAACAGGTCAGGTTTGGTTTATTTTGGGTTTTTTTTCTTTTTTGGTTCTAAATGATTTAAAAAAAATTTTTTGTCCTTTTACATGTTTGTTGTATTGTTTTCTAACCACAGGCTACATCAGAGTTGAAAGTGGAAGAACTCCAAAAACAGTAAGATCAATCAAGTTAATTCCAACATTTTCTGGTTTGTAACGAGTTGTTTTCTCCTGAAATGGTAAAAGCTCCATTAAGCCACACATTCCTTTCTGATAATCTCAGGAGAACTGAATGTGTTGTCTTTGTAGCTAAACCTTTTAAATATTTGCATGAAAGTTGCAACAGCAATCCTATTGACGTCTGACCGAGTGACATTTCCATCATTATCAGAAAGTCCAAAGTACCAAGAGTAGGCGTAAACCAGAGATCTAGGCTTAGTGTTACTTTCTCTTGTCTAGCAAACACATGCAACCACTTACTATAGTTATTATATCTTTAAAGATCAGTAGATTGACATGTTGACCTCAGCCAATGATCTATCGCAATCAGCTTTCTTGGTCAAGTTTGTGCAAGCAAACAAGAATTTAACTTTCGTTCCACTATGCTCTCAATATTCAGCTACTTTGAATATAAGTATAGAAATATGGGGGGGAAATAAAATATATTTTTTTAGTTGGCATTAAATGACGTAACTTAAAAAGTCGTTTGTTGTATTTTCTTGTAGACTTTCTATACAAATGATCACCTGAGGGTTTTTACTGCAGCATGTGTGTTGGCTCTTTTTTATGGCTTACTCAACAGATTACTCTTTTTGTTTTAAATCTTAAGGTCGAGAAAAATGTATTTGGTAATGCGGGAAGACTCTGTAAAGCATGTAAATGTTTTTTTTTTTTTTTTTGTCCTTGTGTCACTGATGTTTAGGATCCAAGAGAAAGATGTGAAGCTGAAATCGATGGAGGAGAATCTACAAGCAGCACAAGCCAGCAGCTCCACCATGGAGAAGATGGTTGAGGTTTGGGCCTTTCCGGAACAACAATTTGAGCATTTTTCACAGACGACCGTCGTTGGTGTAGTTTTGTTCCAGTTTTGAGCACGTTTTATCCTCTTGTATCTCATAGACTCTACAGCAGCAGTTGTCTGCTCATCAGCAGGAGCTGGAGAAGCAAAGACAGGCGCAACAAGAGATAGCCAGTTATGGTATCAAGATTCAGGAACTCCAGTCTCAGTGAGCTGACCTCATTCTTCACATTGAATTAAATTTTTCTACATTTTCCCCTCCCAAATCTGACCATAATGGAGAAACTCTGAACTTCAGGTTAGCAGCAAAGGACCAGGAAATCCAGAGGCTTCAGACTGAGCTGAAGGTAAAGACAAAGGATCTGAGTGAGAAAGTGGAGCAGATACAACAGCAGGTGAGGAAGGTTTTATAAACCAAACATGACTGCTGTCAGAAGATATTTTGTTTTAATTTCTGTCTTGTTCATAGCAGTCCATCTCTGCAACACCAAGCCCTGAATTCCTCGCAACGTAAGTGAAGCGATGTCACTCCCAGGTTTAAGGAGTTTATAATGAGAATAGTGAAAAGCTTTAAAAACAAGAGGTTGTTCTGTTTGGTAGGTTGTCTGAGAAGGAGAATCAGGTGGACAGTCTGCAGGTGGAGCTGGCTGAGCTGAAGGACACTTTGGAGCTTCACAGGAAAAAGAACAACGTAAGTTTCCTGCAGCATTGACCAATAACGCATTAACACTAAACTTTTTCCCCCTTTCCTCTGAATGTTCCACCAACCGTCCCCCCTCCTCTGGTCCAAACACTGCAAATTTCCATAGTTCCTCTTCTCCACTGCCACTTATTCTCAATTGGTTTGTTTTTTTTTTTGTTCTGTTCAGCTAGAATCTCTTTGCTGGAATGTGCTTTGTAGGAAAACTAGGGAGCCCAGCATAATTGGACTCATCAGTATCTTTTCTGCCTTGATTTGGATTTGTCAAGCTGAGCATTCCAGAAGAGAGCTTCCAGTCTCCTCATGTCGTTCTCACTGTTGGATCCAGTTTCAGCAGGCTTGGTTGTTGTTGTGAATGACTCGGAATTTTAGAAACTGTTAATAAAGCATTAATGAATTATTTTCACATTAAGAACTCTGTAAATGCAGTTGTATACCTCATGAACCTCCCTACATTTTATCTCATTGCAACCACAAAACTTTGATATTCTTTATTGGAATTTGGGACAAATACATTAAGAAGATTGGAATTTCTTCTCCTCTTGTTCCTTTAGCAGTTGGAGTTTTTTTTTTTTCTTTCTCTAATGTAAGAAATCATTCTGGATCAGGCTTTGTTTAGGGGTCACTAACTGCTTTTTCCCTGAGGCTAAACTGAAAGTAGTATCTTTCTGGAACTGACTTTGTAAAACAGGAGCTTCGGGAGAAAAACTGGAGTGCAATGGAGGCTCTGTCAGCCACCGAGTCCATGCTTCAAGGAAAACTCAGCAAAGCTGTCAAGGTTCGACATATCATCTCAGTCCTGCTTCACTCTAGATCCAATCTGATGCATTCCCCCTCCAAAATGTCTGTGTTTTGCCATAATTGACCCTGTATATTTTCTTTTTGCATCATCATCTGTGATAACACTGCATACTCGTTTACCTTACTTTTGCTCTCTGTCCTCTTTTCATGGCCCGATTTTTAATTGGCTTTAATTCCAGCTGCCAAATCTGAACGATCCTCTTGTTGCATGTCAGATCATTCCAGTATTTTTCTGAAGTTTTGCTAAACCAAAAGACAGGCAATGAGTGTGCAGTGACTTAGTCATTCACTAGATGTCATTAGCTCAAGATTCATGTTTTATTTCTGTCTTCTTGTCATTAAGCATGGCATGTTTTCTCCAATATTGCCAACTAATCAAAAATGACTCCTTACAATGCAGTTTTGTTTCTGTTTTAATTCTACTTAATCTTTCAAAATGTTTAATCCATATGTAGCAGCCCTGTACTCACAAAGAAATCCTGTCTGATCACCATCAAGACAAACTGGTGCAACTGAATGTTTTAGCTAAGTTTACCTTACATTTTGTGTAGTCACAGATCAGTTTGCAGTCGGATAACTGTTTCTATTTGCAGTTGCAGTGATCTGTGTGTATTTTTGCCATCCTCCTACAGCAGTAGGTTAGCACACTCGCCCAAACATCACAATGCAGCTGTGATACAGTAGAAAGCTCATTCTCTAGTGTGAGCCTGGTACTTACTTTTGCTCTCTGAGCCTGGGTTGCTGTTGTGTATTTTCAGACGGTTCATGTTCTGTTCAGCTGTTACTGCTGAACAGAACATCAGTTCATTGCCAGGAGCCCAGATGTGTGGCAGCTCCTTTTGCATTTGTCAAAAAGCTTTGAGTTAATTTGGTCATTTTTAAGGAGGCACAATCATTTATGAACTTACTCGGGAACATGAACGATCATGAGAGGCTCAAAATCTGAAGTTTTGTGTTCAGTTATGGCCACAAAATCTTTGAGAAAATAACAGAAATATACCTTTTTTACAAAGGTTTCAGCATTTATTATTTTTCTGATTCTAATTTTTTTACTATACGTATTTGATATGTTGGATTTTATATATATATCAAGTTAATCAAAACTGTAATTCTGACATTGAAAGGACTGTAATTTGGAAAGTTTCCTCCTTATATAGACCCTAACAAATGCTAATGTTTTGGTCCCCAAGTCACTTTTGCCTTGTGACATTGTGCTCCATGTTGCTGGAAACAAAAACCCAGTTTTCTAAGAAAAGACTCCTGGTTCATAGAGAAAGTGTTCAGCACTATTCTTTATTCATTTCTTGCATTTTGAAGTATGATTGTAAACAAACCTATTGGGTTGGATGATTGCTAACCCGTCACATAACATTACACTGTTGCCGTGACATGGTAGCATTTACCTTTTTTTCTTTGTTCTGCTACCTGATTGTGGTTTTCATAAAAAGTGGTCGTTTTGGTCTCATACCTTCCCGTCACCATGTCTAAGTAAGCTCTGCACTGGTGGCAGCTCCTATTTCTTGTGCAAATCATATTCTAGATGAGACTTTCTAGAACCTCTGGAAACTTTCTGAAAAAAAATGAACTTGATGGTTTTGGTTACGTGATAAAATGTCTGGGTTTTTTTTGTTTTGTTTTGTTTTTTGTTATTGTTTGGGTTTTTTTCTGGTTGACTCAGCTAGTGGCAGAGCAGATATCTGCTGCTCTTCCACAAAATGCTTCCTGCTCAATTTGTGACAGGGCTGTAATCCAGCACTTTCAAACTTAACTTTTTAATATTCAGTTACGTTTGCAATTAACTGCAGTTCCTTTGATCACGTTTCTTAGCAACTCAACTCATAAAATATTTTTCCTGGTCTCCAAGCATGGGCCTGCTGAAAGGTGCAAATGAAATAACATATACTTAATTTATCTAATAAAACAAGTTGATTCTAGTTACAACAATGATGGAATTAATTTAGGAAATGATTGAAGAAATGATTAGTTTACATCAGGGTAAGTGCAGAGGGCCTGTCGCCGCATCACCTGAAACAAATCATCATATTTCTCAACGCTCTTTCTGTCTGTATTTTTGTTTCTGTACTTTGTGCTTTCTAGGAAAGCCAAACAGCGCTGGCACAAACACAAGCTGAGTGTCGAGATGTTCTGCACAGACTTCTACCCCACGTGCCTCTACCCTCTGAACAGGTATTGACAACGCTGCATTTTTGCCTTCAGATTTATTTTGTTTCAGATGTTCTTGTTCGACTTAAATTTTTACCACAAATTTTTCCTCAGAACCATCAGGAGTGGTTACAGAGGTTCGAGACTGCAGTGGCTGAAAGCTTGGTCACACAGGTTAGACAAACATCACAGGAGTCAGAAGTAAGTTAAAAATTGGAAGCCTAAGTTTTCCAGCAATCCTTTTATGTTCTGAATGAATAAATAAATCCTGCAGGAATTAGCTGAGAAACTGAAAGAAGCAGAGGAAACCCAAAGGATTTTACAGAAGGACTGTGAGACGTACAAGAAGGTGTTGGCAGAGACGGTAAGATGTTTCTTTGAGTTGAAGTCATGGGGAGAGCTTCCTCCAACTGAGGTCTTATTCCTGCTGTGTCCACAGGAGGGAATCCTGCAGCGCCTGCAAAGCTGCGTTGAGGAGGAGGAATCTCGGTGGAAAGTTAAGCTGGAACAATCGCAGGAAGATGTCAGAGAGGTGTGTATTCAGGCTTAGAAAGAAACAACTGATTACAGATTACAACACAGATGTGTTTGTCCTTTTTTTCCAGTTTGTTTCTTCTTAGTTGAGAAGTTGACAAGTGTCTAACAAAAGTTAGAAAATCTAAAGCGTTCTTCACTGTTGCTGTTCTTGTTGTATCCAAAAGCTGTAGAAAAAATGAAAGTAGAAACCAATATAATGATACATTCTGGACCACTCCCAGAATGTATCTAGAACTTCAGAACCTGTATATCTGAACCTAGATTTACAGGCTTTTTTTTCTTTAAAAACATCTGTGAAAGAATGCGTTACTTTTAGGCATATAGTAAATTCCAGTGTTGGAATCAGACTCCCACTGTGGAATAAGTGGGAATCCTGTGGATTAAGAATAGGATCTCACTCAGCCTATGCTATGTATGAGAATGGATGAACAGACATATTGTGGCTATGCGTATGTTAACGATCCACTTGTGTTTTGACCTTTCTGGTGACCTTATCTGGCTCCAATTTACTGAACAGAGTTGGATAATCCACCTCTGGTGTCTAAACTTTTACCTTTTCTGTGCGCTTTCTCATTTAATTGTTCTGTAATCCGTTTTGTGGTTCAGCTGAGAAGAGAGAAGCAGCACTTGGAGTCCGAGTTGGAGAGGGCAGAGAATGAGAGCGCGACGTATGTGACAGAAGTGAGAGAGGTGAGCAGAGTCTGAACTGAACGTTCCTCCTGTTCCTCTCTGATCATTCGAAGGGTTTTGCAGCTACAAGATTATTCCTCAATCATCAAGTTTGACTGTTTAGACTCTGGATCGCTTCCCACAGACCTCCATTAAACAACGACTTGTCAAACTTAATTTCAGCTCAAAGATCTATTGACTGAATTGCAGACCAGACTTGATGGCTCATATACAGAGGCTTTCAGACAGAATGAGGAGCTGGCTTTGGTAAGCATGGATGACCCTCTCAGTAGAACTTCTTTAGCGCCGCTTTGGGTTTCACTGTCTATTACATCCTGAACAACAAAAACTAAAGAAATAAGATCCTGAATGATGATCCTCCTTCTACTTGCTGTGATACTAACCTTTCTTTTTCCACATCTGTATTCTACTCGTCTTTTTCACACCACTAAATATTTTCTCTTTAGATGCCAAAAATGGGTCACCGCAGTAATTAACTAAAGCCTCAGTCTTCAAACAGTTTTGTCTGTTGCTTAACTGGTGCTGGAGATTTGTTTTCACTTTATGTGTTAAATCCACCCTGTTTTGAACTGTAATGGCTGCATTCAGGCTAATAGCAGTGCTACTGGATGTAATCTTCTTCCTGACAACTGTTGGAATTTCACAAATGTCAGATGAGCTGTTCACATACAAACATTCTTTGGCTTCCCACAGCCAAAGAATAAAGAAATTAACATGTCATCTGAATATCAAACTACATAACAATCATAAAGTTTTAGCCTTGAAGATCATGGAATGACTGACTTCAGCAGAGACTTCCCTGACTTGCAGGAACAAGTTTTACTATCATTGGGTGTGTAATGTTAAAATGTCTGAATTGTCTTTTCAGTGTGCAAGTTACTCAAACTGGACTTTTTGGATTGTGACATAATTCCTCTGTTGCAAAAAGGTCATACTGACATAGTGCTGTTCTGTGTTTGAACACATTCATTAAAAGAATACCATTTCATGGGCATTTTAACATATCCATGATATTTTGCAAACACATGGGTTTTGATAAAATAGAATATCAACTCAAATAAAACCAGTATACTATGTAGAATTATGACACACTAATATATTTCTCAGCATTTGGATGACTATGACTAATAGCTGATGACTGGCCAAAAGCAAACAGAATTTCATGATTTAATGACTCCTCCAGACTTTTGAGTTCCAAATGAAATGCAAAATCTCCTGAGCGCATGTAAGACACTGTAAAGTGTTTCTGACTCAGGAATGACTTCAAATGAGGAATTTAACCATTGTTGTCCATATTCTGAATATGTCCATACCTCCAGTCCAGAATCGCTTACAAATTCTTCAATTAACATTTTCTTCTACCACATTTTTTTCAGTTTCTCCTTCCACCTAACTTTACTCTAATATTCTTTGACACCGCACTGTGTTCAGCTAGCTTTTCTGTGATGACCTTTTCTGGCTTCCTCTGATCCAGTGTGTTAATGAGCGTCTGTTGGACAACTGGTATCTTTCCCACAGCTTTGAGAAATTGAATTTAAGGTTTCCATCCGCTGTAAGCTAAAATAATCAAAGTTCATAGAAATTATGTATTGACGTGTCATTTTCTGTGTGATTAATCCTTTTTCAAATCATTTAAGTAATCTTTAGATGCACCTGTGGGTCTCCGCTGTTTTGATTCTTCTTGTGTAATCTGACAAACCATCTTAATGTCTGTCTTCAGTTGAAAACCCAGCTGTCTGAGACGCTGTCCAGGTTGCAGACGGAGGAAAACGAGAGGCAAAGAGTAGCTGGAGACCTGTACAAGGTAATGGCGCTAATTTCTTTCATGCGTCTGCTCACACAGGTTGAACCACAGCTCATAATGCTAAAAGTTATTGTTATTGTTCACTCAGGCCCAGCAGTCTCTTGAACAGATCCAGAGTGAACTCACAAAACTAATAGAAAACAATGCCCTGATAGAGAACAGCAGCCTGTCATCACAACATGTAAGTGTTTTCTAAGAGTAGTAGTGGTAACAATAAGTGGTTCAGCATCTGCTTTAAACCAGTTGATGTTTGTCTGACAGGAGGAGATTGACAAGAAGGAGAGAATAACTGCAGGACTGAATCAAACAGTGAGAGAAATGCAGCAGCTGCTCATTGCGATCAGCCAGCAACTGGCTAAGGGGGTGAGTTCCCTTCCTGACAAAATGTTGCACTGCACCTGCAGCTTTTATAAGATCTGCTAAAACACACTGGCCTTATTTTTTAAAAAAAATCTAATTCTTTACCTTTCCACTGAGTTATCAGCTGCACTAAAAAGACAACAAGGTTTCTGTTGTCTTAGAAAAATCACAAGCCACATTAATGTTAGATACGTATGTTTGTATTTGCCTGAATATAAAGTGCAGCTGAAAAGGGCCGAACTTAAGGCTCCTTCTGTAAATGAAAAGTCAGAATTAAGATGTGTTGCTTACTCCACATCCTCCTGTTTTATCAGCTTCTAACAGCATCGTTGAATGCACAGACTGAATCAGTTTATTGTTTTCCAGGAGACTGAGAAAGATCAACAGAAGGTATAAGGAGAGGATGCCACCACACAGACACACTGACTGCAATACAGAGACAGCCTGCAAACTTCAGCCTCCTCACTACCGCATCACACAGTCACTCCTGCTCACTTCCTCCCAAACCCTGTCCTCTTCACCTGTACTGTAAAGACCTCTTGTCTGACGGCCTGCACAGGAGCAGGCAGAGGTCCTGTTTTATTCCTAACACTCCAAGCACGGTACCAAAACTCCAATTCTCCACTCCAGCCACATTCCTCCTCTTCTGCAGCTTCATCAATTGATTTATTATTATCATTATTATTTTTTTTTACTTCAAACTTTAAAAATGACCCCGACATTATTTAAACTGTGTGGCTACCATTCCTCTGTTATAAATCCACCTGTATAATTTCCAGTGACATACTTTTTAAAACTACAGTAGATTTTTGTTTTGTCTGGAGAGGGCAGAGATGAAATGTCCCGGCTTAAAGAAACAAGCGTTGGGATTTCCTGTTTCTTTTCCTTTTAACTTAAAGATATGTATTGTTTAAGTGTACCGCTTAGGACCTGCTGAAATACACTGTTCTGTTGATTTGCTCCCTGACAAGAGAAAACACCGCGATTGCTCCATGCATACCTTGGCTCAATACTTCCTGGGGAAAGACGGGAGTCAGTAAAGCTCTCTGCATGCGAGATGGGTCACTACGTGACTGTATCCATGGTGACACATTTTTGTCCCGCCTTTACTGCAGCTCCACAGAGAAGAGAGTTTGGAGTACAAGACCAGGCACATTTAAGAGGTTTTTAATCCAACTGCAACCACTTTAGAAATGAGCGTCCCACTTTGTGTGTAATCAACACTTACTTTATTGTGGCTGAGTCCATTAACACTGAAGATTTTGTTCTTTTTGTAATGGGTGATGTTAATAAAAGGGATGCTTAATATGGCTTGTCTTCTCTTTTTTTCCATTGCAAACCTTGTATTGGCCACAAGGTGCCAGCATATTACCAGAGAGGATGTTTTTCACACACAACCTGGAAAATGTTGAGTGCACACCATGGAAATCCAAAGTTTCTCGTCATGTACTTATTTAGTTTGGAAAACACATTAAACTGTTTGTATGCAGACATGTTATTCTGGGTCAGATTTAAAGAGCCATTAAGTCTCAATGGAACGTTGAGAAATTATTAGTTTATAGGTATTGTAACTTGCTGTGTATTCACTTTGTTTTTGTTTTTATTCCTTTTTGCAAATATAGAAATTATGGTAAACAAAATAATCCCAATATAAATTCCAATCCCCTAGTGGGAGCTGTTTTAAATCCTATCTGTGGGTCATCTTTCACATCTTCAACAAACGATGGAGCCTCTGACACGCAGATTTTTGCAAAACTTCATACCTCTGAATCTTTTCTCATAAAGTAGTGTGAAATAGTTTTGAATATCATGTATGTCTAAATTGACCTACTGATGACTGCGCTGTCTTTGGTGGTGAAATTTGCATCTGGCATTTGAGATGACATGCAGTGAGTTTTCTACACCTGTAGGATTTCCGGCCACTCCTTTACAAACTTGTTCAAATTCAACCACTTTGGGGGTGTTTTGAGTGTGTGATGCATGCTTAATGCCATACCACAGCATCTCAAATGATTAATCCCAGGCTTTGACTAGGCCTCCAAAGAGCTAAATTTTTGCTTTGTTTTAGGTTTATTTTAGCCATTCAGATAGGATGTTCTATTGGACAGTTCATTGTGCCATGACTCATAAGAAATGACATATCCTATGATTTTACACCAGATCTAATCGGTTGCACGTCTTTAAAGAATTTCCACTTTTGTCTCATTTGCACTCAGAATATTTAAGTGCAATATAAAAGTGTTGTGAATCCTGAACTGCATGGTGGCAACTTGTCCTGAGATCCTGAATGTTTTCCTTGAGATTGGTTGGAATCTCTCCAGGCTTCTCCCTCAGTTGACCCCATGACTCTTAGGTTATTTGGTTTCTCTAAATTGCTTTTAAGTTTAAATGTCTGCACCCTTGGTTGGAAGTCCGGTGATGAACTGGACTTCCAACTAGACTTACTCAATGACCACTGACAAACTGGTTTAGGCAATGGATGGGTTGTGAATCATAAAGATATTTTTCAAGAAATGGGATTATGAACACTGATCCTGAGTCAAGTGAGGAATGAAGTGTTTTAAATCTTGCATCTTGCCTGATGCATCAATGTTGCAGGTTTCCTCCACTTGAAAATAACAGCTGTCACTGTTTTACTGGATTCCCAAAGCCTGAGAGATGGCTTTGTAATGTTTTCAGATACTTATTGATGACATTGTATTTTAATTCTGCTACCTTTTTCTTGAACATCTATAGAATTGTTGAAAAATACCATGTTTGTTATTTTTGCATCTCTCGTACATTAATGCGTTTCATTTCTCAAAATGATTTAGATTTTCTTGACTGTCACCCCTAAATAAAATCCAATGCAAGATGTGGAAAATGTTGGGAAACAACCTAATCTGAGACAAATCTTATGTTTTATTTTACGTTTTATTGTCGTATTGTCGTATTGGATTCATACGACAATAGGGATGGACTGCTTTGTACTGTACTGGAAGCTGTAATACAAGTTCCACGTGAGTCAAATTGATGCTGACTTTATATGCATGGAGGGCTGTTGCTGTCTTGCATGTTAAAAAGGCCTTTTAGACAACAAGACTGTTGTGCTGACTGACTGGGAGAGACGATGGGTGTTTGGGTGGGTGGGGGATGTCGGGTCAAGAGCACAAGCAACACAGGATCAGCACATTCCTTGCATTCTCCCACACTGTCATGCTACAGTCAGCTGAGTGGAGAACTGGCTTTTGCTTTGATCGAAACCATGCGATGCAGCATGCGCCCACAACATCTTCATCACAGAGGAAAATGTTTTTCACTGGCTGGAGATTAAAGTTGCCAAAACATTACTTTGAGGTAGATTCAGCTTGGCATACTGTCCATTTAAAAGAGGTTATCTGCAAAATGTGCAAATCCCCTTTAAGACGGGGGTTAAAGAAGGAAAGTTAAAGCATTCCATTCTTGCAACATACATATTTGTCATCCCTTGACTCAAAAATAGAATAGTCACATTGTGAGTCTGTTGGACATCATATATGGTTGAGTAAGTCCGCACTAAGAACAGTTCAGATGTTAGCAGGGACTTTACCAGACTGTTGTCATCATTGCTCACAGACTCTCTATTGTGCAACTCCGCTCTGCATGCTTCTTGCCTGGTAACATTGGACTCCTCCTCCTTAACTTAGATTTATACTCACGCTACGCCAGCGCAGCTTCAGCAAAGCAGCCCACTCCCTGCATCTGCTCTCCATCAGTGTGGTATGCGCCGGAGAGCCTTTGATCCCCACCCACCCCCAAATCTTCTGTGTGTGTTTACGTGAGTCGAACAGAGGTAGAAACAAAACCTGCAGTGCTCTTTTACAAAGACAATGCCCAGTGAATGAAAAGCTCAGCGGAAAAAGGCAGTGGCACAAAAGAGCAGTAAACATTCATTATACCCACTCCTTTGGGGGGTTGCCCTGAGCCCTTTAGTTACAGGCCTAACTCAGCTTTGTGTTTGTGAAGGAGAATCTCAGACATTTGTGGTGGTAATCAGCAAGAAAAACGGCAAAATATGAAATATTTCCACTCTTTTTCCTATATATGAATGTCCAATAGTGCATGAGAGTGGGAATGGAAATACCTTTCCGCACCCCAGTGACCCCCATTGCTGCCTTTTTGTTTTTGCGTGAAGTGTTATTGCACTTTGAAACTGAACACCAGTTCAAACAGAGGGCCATAATTAGAGGGGGGCACCAAAGAGGCCCCAGGCAGTGGGTGAGCACCTTCAGCCATGGATGTTCTTGTGAAAACAAGACTGAGGCAATAACGTGTTGACGAGACCACCAGAGAAAGGTGGGGAAGTGGAGCATTCACCAGAAAGGCGTGAGAACAACTGGACATGCGACATCTGTCTCGTCTGTTGTAGTTTCAGCGAATTGTCAGTGAGTCAGTCTCCAAAAAAACATGTATGCCAGTAAATCAATAATAATGTGAAAATAACATTTCCAGGCATGCAGCTCAGTAGTGGTGTAACATGTTCCCATTAAAAATTAGCAAAATAGAGCACACCATACTAAAGTCCTTACTCAGAGAATTGTTGAGTAAGGACCTATCCGTACCCTTTAAAATACTTTTGTTAGTTTATGAATCACTGAATGGCTTAGCAGCAAACTACAGTGAAGTCTTGTTGTTTTAGTTCAACTTCACCAGTAAGCAGAACCAACCGGAAAAGCAGTCTTCATTTATATGCTCTATATGAACAGGAACAGAAAACTGCAAAACAGCTGAACCACTGAGTTCATTTAAATCAAAGCTGTAGAACTGTCTGTTTGGAGCTGGCTTTCACTGGAATGTCGATTAATATATTTGATGTATATTTAGTGATGATTATTCTTGATGAGTTTGATGAAGGCATTTGACAAAATGTAATCTCTGCGGCTTGTTTCATAATTGGTTACTGTGTGATGTTTTGATCATGTAAATGCCTTGTTGCTGAAATGTGCAATAAAAATAAACTTGACTTCACTTGATTTAACACCACCTCTTAAACATATTCACACCCCTTCCTTAAAGGTTTACCCATTTTGTCATGTTACAAAACCAGCTTTCACTGCATTTACAGCTGCAGGTCTCTTGTTGTCTGTCTCCTGTAACTTTGCACATCGAAAGTTTTTACTAATTCTCCAGCACAAGATATCACAATTTTGATTTTAACTTTGGAGCAGTGAAACACAAACATGTGTTTTGATGTAAAACATTCTGTTGTAGCTTTGTGTGCAGGATTAGGGCCAATCCCCTGTTGGGATTTGAACTTCCACCCCAGCCTCTAGTCTTTTACATTTTCAATGAGATTTTCCTCTGGCTTCCAGGTCCTTTCTGAAGAAAAGCCTCTTCACTCCATGGGGTTTGTGTGTTCATGGCGATGCTAGTTTCCGGACACTTTGTCTATTGTAGGGTATAAAGTTTAGATCTCATTAAAGTTCACCTTGCCCTGTCTTAATGGGTTTGCTGTTCTTCATTAGCTTTTTTAAAATTTTCATATGATTGAGCCGTGGTCTGTGAGATGTAAGAAGCTTTAGAAACCTGATATAAACTTCAAAACTTTATTGTGACCGACCTGCCTGCTGTGTTGCTTGGCCTCCTGTGATTGTTTGCTCATGTTTTCTAACTTACCTCTTAGATTTAGAGGTATTAAAATAAGATTGAGGTGAATATAACTGAGCAACCTTTCTTACTTCCCAATTATGCACAATTTATTGCTGGTTTGTCACACAAAATCTAAATAAAACATATAAGTTTGTGCTTACATCATGAGAAAGAGTGAACAGGTTCAATGGGTATGAAGGCATTGTATTTGGTTGCACAATTGATCACATGCTTCAGTAAAACTGCCATAAATCCCTGATTATGGAAAGAGAGGTTTTAAAGAGCTCAACGGAATCACAAACAAAATGAGGAAATCTGATTTCGCCATCTTTTCATCCCCCAAGAAAACAAACCAGGGGGGATTATTTTCACCATGAGTTTCCCACCACAGCTCTCTCCTCATCATTATCTATATTTATACTAAATATGAATATAGATCTGCTTAAGATACTTTTATGAAACCATCTTATTAATCATACAGTGTGTATCTGAAATAATATTAGGAATTAATATTAGAAACCCATTTGTTGAATATAAAAGCCTCTTAATGCTAATGGGCGAAAAAAAAAAACTGAATTAGCATTATTTGCCAAATTTTGCACAAAATTAAGGAATTTAACTTAAGTTTCACTTTGCTTTCAACGATTACATTTTTAATATTTTATACAAGAAGGGAAATAAAAATAAAATATATATTTTATGTAAATCTATCTGGGTCTGTAGCAGGTGATTTTTATATTTTAGTCTGTCTGATAACATAATTTTCAAAAAAAGAAAAACCCTTTTTAAACCTTACATGAGTAATTTCTTAATGGGATACTATTTATTTTATTTGAGTAAAATATGTTGAAGTAGTACTACTAATTGTTAGTCCTCTACCCTCCTCTTTGAGGGCTGTTTCTGTTGTCAAATAACAACAGATAATTGTTTATAATTTGCTACTGGAACAAATATTAAACAGTTAGGTTTTAACTAGGCTACAATCAAACAAATATTACCAGCATATAGCTTAAAAAACAGCTTTAAATTTATTTGTGCTACAACTGTTAAATCAAATTAGTCTTGTTCTCTCCCAATGAGCAAATCTAAAAATTGAGGATTATCAGATTATTGGTTTGGGCTAAATTCGAGAATTACAAGGAAGGAGTCTCGTGTTGTTGCAGGTTTGGTATTGAAGGATCAATTCTCACAAATATTATAAAATGACGACCTGATCTGAATTATTAGACAGAAATTCATTTGTTTTTTTTCATGGGGCCCCTTTAAGAATTCCCAGATTGTAGTCTTTGTTTACATAACAGATGGTGCTGCCCATGGATGTGGCACGGTGGTTGAAATGAAAAACTGAACCCGCGCTTTGATCACCTTATCCCCGCAAAATTAAATGCATGAAAATCCCATCGGGTCGTGTGAATGTTTGCGTCTTTAAATCATAAATCGCAGTCATGTCTGCGCAGACTCGCCGTGGGAAGAAGCCGAGCCGCTGAGGCGTCCCCCCCCCGCGGAAAGTAAAGCAGAAGTGAATGGTACGGTCCGGCCCTGCTCCTCGCTGTTTTTGTATCCGCTGTAGAGCGGATTCAACCGCCAAGTAAGTTACGCTCTGCTGTGGTTAGCCCAGGAAGTTACAGAGCAGTTTATTTTCCTTTCTTTCCCCACAAACAGACAACTGGAGTTACTCGGATAGAGATACACGCATGATGTCAGAGTCATAAGATGTAGTGAGGGGACTCAGTGTCTTCCCCCCCCTCCTTCTCTCTTAAAGGGAATTTGTTAATCTTGCGAGAGAGACACCGTTATCACTGTGGAGCTAACACGGTCAAGCCTCATGTTTTCGTCAAGCCAGGAGGAACACTGCGCCCCGTCCAAAGACCCGGTGAAGTACGGGGAGCTGGTGGTGCTGGGGTAAGATTGTGGCATATTTATTTTTAAATTTACTGGTTTAGGACGAACAAGAGAGCGAGTGTTTAGTGTCTGAAAAGTTTCCCCGGACGTTCCTCCACGGCGCTCTGCCGAGCCGCTATAACCTGACTGACTGAGCAGGAATGTGTGTGTTGTTCTCTTTTATTTATTGACGGTGTCGGTCGGGTTGAACTCGGCAGGCCGTTGGGCTGAGTTTAGAAATTTACGAGCTCACGTTACTCCTCAAAGCAGACACGTGCGCAGTCAGATATGCAGTCCAGTTGTTGAGGATGTTGATGATGATGATGATGTCTCGCTCCCTGATAACCAGTGGGGTATAGAAACTCAAGCCTCACTAGATAGTCAACATGTTCAGGACAACTTTAGGTACACCTCCTGGTTCCCAGCAGCCCCAACCGGAGCGCTCCTCCCTGCCTTGGAAGTTGGATTCACGGGGCTTCAAGAATTCGGAAGTTGTGGTGGTCTCCACCCCCCAGACCCCCGGGCTGCTTCCTTTTCGGCTGCCACAACCCCAACCCTGCACAACTTTTGCTCAAACACGCACCATTGTCTGTTCCTGCTGGAAGGATTAATAATTACTCCCCATGGCATTGTTTAGTTGAATTATACCACCACACAAATAGACACTGAAATTGGAACAGCCTTGGAAGCTTAGCTCCTGACAGGATCAAGTTGAGAATGAAGCAAGTAAGCAGCACAACTTTATCTTTGTTGTGAAATTCTAAAGCCACATTGTGCAAGTTAGAGGACAGGAAGTTACTGTGCATATGTCATCACTAACAGTCATCCCAATTCTTTAAAAACAAAGCCAGGGGGTATGTTAGAGTTTGCATTGCATTCCTGTGGTTAAAATCTATGTACACACTTCACTTTTTGGATTCTAGGACTCTCATCCCAAGGGGCCTGATTGAACATCCACAAAACCACTAAAAAGTGGGAACGTTTTTGCAGTTTTCTAGCCGATCAACTTTAAAAAATCTGGCCTTCTCTATTTCAATTTTGGCTGATACTGATTTGTTTTACTAATTATCACAATACATGTTCAATGTTCCAATCTTATAGTAAGAAACATTGAACAATATCTGTGAAACAATAATCTTTCATGGCAGAACAGAAGGGGACAGTGGGTGACTTTCGGACCTTTGCAGAAGTCTGAAGATCAATTTTCGATTTGATTGGTTATCATCCAAAATTAAGGAAAATTGGCCAGCCGATTGATTGGCACACCCCTAATAGTACTCTGACCATAGATGTCACTGTATTCTTACCATTTACAGTAATATGAAATGTTAACTTAAGGGTCTCAAAGTGTTCAGAAGACTGCTACGTGGCTTGGAGCTACAAACATATTATTTTGTGTCATTGAATGATAATAAATGTAAAGTTTTGACAGCCGGTGTTTGTTCTTATTACATCGCAAAAGTCAAGCACTTTTGAATGTTGTTCAGCCTGGATATTTACATACACCATACTTTTTTTTTTTTTTGCTGTTTGACATTAAATCAGACTAAATGTTTTCTGTTCCATGTTAAACCATTTCTGTTTGCTAAATGCCAGAACAATAAGGGAGAATTCATTACTTGCGTCATATACAGAAGTAACATGACTTTAAAATCTTTGGATAGGTTCATTCCCAAAGTTGGTCATAAATGGGGGAACATTTGTGGATGTATTTTAAAGAAAGACCTTAAAACACACCACTCTCTTGTATAATGTAATGGGAAACTCAAAAGACAACATATTAGGAAAAACACTGTGAACTTTGGGTCTGATTTCCAGATGGCTGAAGGTGCAGTATTCATCTCTCATCTGAGAACTGTGTGTATGAGCGACACAGGAGGTAGGAGCATCATGTTGTGTGGGTGTTTTGCTGCAGGAAGAACTGGTGCAACTGGTGAAAAGATAGATGGCATCATGTGGAAAGAATATTTTGAGGTAACATCTCAAGACATCATACAGGAAGTTAAAACTTCCCCACAAAAAAGTCTTCCAAATGGATAATGAAAATGTGGATCCCTCTCAGTTAGTTAGAACATAGTGTAAGGAGGATCTGTGGGCCAAGCTGAAAAGTTTTGTTCTACAAACCTTACTCAGCTGCATCAGTTCGGTTGGGGGAATGGGCCAAAATTACAGCAAACTATTGTTTGTAGAAGGATTTCCAAAACATTTGACTTAAGTCAGTCAGTTTACAATAAGGCAATGTCAAGAAAGCCTGTAAAATTTCCTCAATCCTTCAGCAAAAATGGTCATTTGAATGAGACCATTTTGGGACGTAGAAAGTCCAAAAGTGACTGGATTTGTTTTCTGGTATTAAGCAACAGAGCAGCAGTGGTTAGAAATGTTGTCTTCCTCTTTTCAATAAAAATATTCAGATAATTTTACATATTTTTCCATTGTAATTTACACGTATTTCAGATTTATTACTAGTTCCAAAGTGGATGTCACAAAATAAACCAATATTATGTGGAATAAGACAGAAAAAAGTCTGCTGCTATTTTCATTTGAGTATTTGGCTGTAGAGGAAGTTTAGTTTTTACCCTGAAGTACCAGTTCCCCAAAAAAAGTGTATGAAAGTCTGATCTCTGTGGTGTTGTCTATCTTTGGTGTTGTTCTTTTATGCTTTTTTTAAACACTATTGTGCAAAAGTGCAATTGGAAAATCTTTGTGTATCAAACAAGAAGAATTTCTCCATAGACAAAAGTAAAGCTCCAACTTATTCATAAAAAAGGTGAAATACCTTAAACTAGTGAAGTAGTTTAAGGAATCTAAGTTCGAGTCTTCTTGCAACGGAATCCTTTCTTAAGGATCATTCATCTTAATGGATTATTTCAGTATTAGCTGCATCTTGTTTCAGAACTAATGAATCCTTCAAACATCAATCCAGACTTGTGGAAAATTACCAGTATTACAAAGCAACAACTCTGTGTAATACATATGTTTTAAAAAGAACGTTATAAACATCATTCTGGACAATCAAGCTCCAACATGTCCTATACTCTGTCATGCTTTGAGTCATCAGTGATTAGACTTTGGTCAGTATTTTTACTCACCTCAAAGTTTGACATGAATTATTAACAGTTCTCGTAGTTTATGCTGTTCGAATCTCACTTTTACAGCACTTGAGGCAAATAGCAGCAAAGTTATAGACTGGGGAGTTGAGTGGGTGGCTTTGTCCTTTGCCTCCAGCTGTCCATTCAACAGCCATCCTGCTTATTGTAAAGGACAAAAAGCAGCACTGACTGGTTATCACCCAGGGCTGAGCGTGTGGTGTGTTTGACGCCAGGACTTTTGTTCTCCCTCCTGACATCAAGACACATATGTGAATCAGATGTGACGGGTGCATAATCACTGCCGTGACATCACATCCCCATTGATAAAGCCGATGGTAGACGAGATAGCTGTCAGCATGGCACAAAGCTTGTTTGAGCTGCAGTTTCCCTCGGCGGCTTGTTGTCACGGCTGCGGCGGCTCTTATTACTTGCATGGCTGCCCGCCATCTCCGCCGCTCTCTGCTGAGGTGGGATTGGCTCGGTGCTGGTCAGTGAACGGAGGAAGGGGGGAGCCGGGGCTGGATGGGTATCTTAGAAATGAAAGAACGGATTGATCAGGACTCGGTCTTTGCTTTTCCTCAGCTTCCTCTGTTCATTGTGGCTCAGAGACTGGGCCCATTGAGGGAACTTTCTACATTTTTGCCATGAAAAAGTGCTCAGTAAAAAGAAGCCAGCTTAGCTTTGTTACAGACTTCCACTGATTGTCGATAAATTACAAGTTCAGCAAAAGCTTATTACGGAAAAGAAAGCTGTCTTTTAAAAGTTTGTGTTTAGTTTTGTTTCATCCTCTATGATCCTGTTGGACAATGTACAGTACTTTGAACATTTTTTATGTTCTCTGGGGCTGAAATGATTAATCAAATTAATCGTGATGAATCAATTGTTAAAATAACTGTCAACTAATTTAGTGATTGATCATCAACTGGAGTATGCAGACTCAAAAATTGAAAAGAATTTCCAAACCAGCCTGGCACTATGAAAAACTAATCACTCCGTAGACTGTTTGTGCCATCAAGTGCTGGCAATGCTTTTTTTTTTATGGTGAAGGAATTTTAAACCATTTTTCTTTGTAGAATTGTCTAAATTTAGTCACAAGAGAGCTTTCAAGCAGACATATGAAGTCATGCCACTTAAATCCATTTCAGTTGGGTGTAAGGGCAAGCTTTGACTAGGCGTTGTTTTAATGTGAGTAAATTCAGAGGTGGACTTTGTTTTACCCCATTTTCCAGCTGCACACCACCACTATGTTTTAATGTTTATGTGATGTTCTTTCTTGTTCCCTTTGGTCTTGCCAGTCCACAGAATATTTTTCCAAGTCTGGGGTTGTTAAGTTGTTTTTTGGTAAATGTGAGACGATCATGTTGTGTTATTTTTTTCCAGCAGGAACGCTGAAACCCTTTCAGACTGATTGGTGTCACTTTGTTTCTCATCTGTTCTTCAGTTTCTTTACCTGAGGTCTAATTCATGTTGTCAAATGGATCCTGTATAAGTGAGTTTTTGATTCTACAAATCAGGGCATAATCAGGCCTAAAAAGATTGAATGAATCAATGCTTAAAAATGTGGTTTATAACAGTTAATTCACACTTTGGGCCTGGTTGATTTGGCTAGCTTTTTCCCATTAATAAATAAAACAACCATTTAAAGACAAATTTTTTTTGATGTATTTAAATGATAAATTTAAGAGTGGCAAAAACAGAAGAAACCTATAAGAGGAGCAGACACCTTTACACAGCACCATATCTCCTTCATGTTCTGTAATCGGTACACTTTGACATTAACACAAGAGGTAGGAGGTGCTGTTGGCTCCTCAATGTAGCCCTGGAGGATACGCGATATGCCACAGTCTTCTAATCCCTGCTGCTAAATATTGGAAGGTAAATCCGCCGTCTGCCTGGCACAGGTCAAAAGGGAACGTGATCACAATTAGTTGGTAGAGCCGCTTTAAAGAGCCTGTCCTTGCTAATGTGACGGTGGCAGCTCCCGGATGACACGATATTGTTCTACGGCGTGATGATGAATTAATTTAAAGCTTGTGGAGCTTTTTATTACAGACTTAGAGGTTATGTTCTTCAGTATAATTCATCATGGTGAAAATGCTAAGCTTCGTGTCAGCTGAATACATGCTAAGTGTGAGACATTCAGGAGCCAGCCAGTGCTGAGTGTACGTCTGAACAATGTAGGCCTTTATTTAGGCTGGGAGTTTCTACGGTTGATCTAGGATATTTGTCAACTGCTCTCATCCATGGTGGGGTTCTTTTCACAGTGCAGCGTGTGTGTTAGCTTAAAATGTGAATTTTATTGCAAAATTTAAACAATATATCAAAACAGTGATTGCAGAAGGACTAACCTCAAGCATTGGCTTGTCTCCAGTAGGCCTTCAAAGTAAACTTTTCAATCTGATAAAGCTGTTTGCCATTTCTGTGGTTTTCATGATATTCCAGTGTATTGTAACAGAGTGCTGCTCCTCCCCCACATGTTGCTGTAAAACATACATTGTTGGACATGAAGCAGTTGATGACATCTGTGTATTCTGCGTCTTTGTATTAAACATTGAAAAAGCAGCAGCATAAACTTTATTTATATGTGTGCGGCAGATTAATACACCATTTGTATTGCAATATGCAATATTTTTTGGTAATTTTATTCATGTGTTGAAGTCACTTTGCCCAATAGATGTAAGACATTCAGCCTGACAGAAGGACAGGTGAAAAGAGTGTATTATGGAAATCATTCCATGATGTTTTCAGTTTCAGGTTATGTTAAAAACAATAAGAAATTGTTGGAAAAAAATATGTCTTATAATTACTATGCTGTATAATTTTAGCTGCAGTAGAAATAATTGTTGCTTTTGTGATTTAAATGGACACATTTAGATCAGGAGTGTCAGACTATTTTCATTTCAGGCACATCAGACTGCTGTCAGAGGAACTGTTATGGTGGAAAGTACTTATTAGTAAAACCTTGAAATATTGCAGCCGTACAGTCACTGCGTACTTCTTAAAATTAAATATCACAGCTTTTTAATTGGTATGATTTGGCACTAAACAAATGAAATTGATTTGATTTCACTTCAAGTGTAATCAAATCTTGAATATCTTCGAGTGATTCTCTGGAGTCCTGAGAGCCACATATATAAATTTGACCTGTGGGATTGAGTTTGACATACGTGAATTAAGTTATGCTGTATGTCATAGATTGAAGTTTTTATGTACCGGTAAATACTATGGCATTGGTTAGTTCAAAACTCAGAAAACATTTTTAGATTTGTAAATGCAGAGGTTCTGTAGGAATGTTGTGCACTCTCTCAAACATTATCAAAAATGTGAGTAAAAATGAACAAAAAGAGCCATAAAATTACTTTAGTGTTATGTTTTCCACAGAATCAGCCTTCCTGGCTCTCTGTGGGTGGCTTGTCTTACAGGCCAGCTTTGTGCACTGTGCTGACTGGGACCATGTGTTTCCCTGCCTGGCCAGCCGTATGGAGACACGGGACAGGTGGACCAGCTTAGGAGGGAGTTGAGGGAGGAGGCAAAGAAGGTTCTGTCGCCTTTATGTTGCAACAAAGACGAGAGGAGTCCCATTATGCCGCGGCCGGTTGAACCTCTTCCCTCAGATGAACTGCTATGCAAAGTTGGGGGATTGGATGTAAATATTTCTGCTAGACAGTGTGCCTGTTTAGCACTCTGTGGTTGCGTATGCGGGTGTGAGCAGAAGGTCTGCATGTTGGATGGGAGTAAAGCATGGGGTGACCCAGCTGTAGGAACCAGCTGGTGGACAGAAAGTGGATCAGTCCCACCGGAAAGGGCTCCTCCATTCTTGAGGAGGAGCTTGGGCGAGGTGCCTCACTCTGGACAGAAGGGGCGAAGCTGGAATCTGGTGTGAAGGGATCAGGAAGCACAGAGCTTGTAGATTTCAGTAAAGGCTCTCAAATCATGTTAAATCTCAAATTATTCTTATTATGAAATCAAACTTAATTGATTGATTGAATAAAAAGTTTTGTGCAGATTTTCATGTAAGCTTTCTTTAAAATTAAAAGATGCAAAAGAAGAAATAATTTAATCCCCCTTTTTTTTTACATAGGAAAATAAACATTTTATTACCTAAAAAGCAAAAACAGTATTTCTTTAGTGCATGCTTGATTGTGTGTAGCAAAAAGATTCATCTGCAGCTCAAAAAAATATTGCTAACATCATCTGTTGACTACTTTTTGATTAGCCAATTAATAATTGGATAGAAAAAGATGTTTAATAAGTTTTTCTTCTTACAGAATTTCAATCTGTTGAAGCTAAAACTGCCACGAGTTCCTGGTAGAACATATTTACAGACAAACAAGTTTTCTTCTCATCTTCAGTGCAGAGCGTATAAATTTGTTGTACAGCTTTGGCTTACTTATTACTTGAGGGTGTTCTTTCACAAAATGTCATGTTTTAGTGTTTGTGTACTCCAGTAAACAATTGATCGATTGATAAATTAGTTGCCGATTATTTCAATAATCGATTAATCACCATTGTTCCAGTGAATCATTTAAGCCTTAGTTGCTTTCTATGTAATTATGTTAAAATATGCTCAGTTTGCCACACAGCCTGTGCATTTTGAAATGTGTTCCTGCTTGTAGCTGCAGTTTATTCAGCCTCACTCTGAAATCACCAGAGTGCATTATGTAATAAGAGGCATTATCCAAGGTGACGCTTAGATTACTAATATGGTGTATTAGATTGCCAGTGATGTAATGCGTGGAAAAGCTCCCATTCAAAGCACGCAAATGTTTCTAAATCTCCATGTGTACTTTTTATATGATTACAAGATTTTTGCCTGTAAATCTCATTACACACATCTTTTTGGAGCTGCAAAAAAATGGCTTTTTATCCAGGGGGGGAAAAAATAACTGAATGCTGTCCTTTTCTCCACCCTGTCCTAACCCCCACCTCCCCACTGTGACAGGTACAATGGCTCTCTGCCCAATGGAGATCGGGGTAGACGGAAAAGCAGATTTGCGCTTTTGAAGAGGACCAAAGCCAACGGTGTTAAGCCAAGCACCGTGCACATCCTCAACACACCCCAGGATAGTAAGGTATGGAACAAAAGATGACTTAAGATTTAATGAACACACTGTCACTGTGAATGGTGTATATTTTGGACCAAATATGTATGAATGAAGGTGTGAAATGTTGCTTTTCTCTTGAAGCTGGTGGAGTTAAAGTGAAGGGAGAGTGTTTAGGTTTCCTGTTCTCTGTCCCTCATGGAACCTGAATGTACGTTGCTGTTGGCCCTGACCATTGTGTTGACATTTCCAGTTCAATAACCATAGTTCCTAGCTGGGCCTCATTGCTTCTCTTCACACCAGAGAGCCAGGATAACATGTTTCCCTCCCCGCATTCCTCCTCTCGGTTCCAGAGCCAGGCCGTTAAACAAGTAGCTGTTTTTCTCTGCTGTTATTCAGACGTTTGTTCTCTCTTCAGCTCTCCGACTAAAGGCTCTCAGGTTCAGATTTCTGTCACCTTGTGTAACGTGACTCCTGGTATCTGCTCAGAAGGTTTTCTTTGTGGGAGAAAGGCCTTTTCACAACAGAAATGGAGCTTTACAGCTGTGTATTGGGATCGAGTGGTTTAAAAAAGTATTTGTACTTCTTTAACTTTTTCACATTTTGTCAGGTTACAGCCTCAGACTTCAGTCAATTTTATAGAGATCATATGTGATAGCGTTTAGTTCAACTCCCTTTAATCCAGGGATGTCCAAAGTGTGGCCCTTGAGCCAATTTGCGGCCCCTGGACTTCTTTTCTGTGGCCCCCCCAACTGCAATTTAATAGTGGTACAAATTTAACCCGCCAGCACAGATGACTGATGCAGGTGGAGACTTTATTTACTGACGAGTTAAAATCCTTAAACATGAGGAGCACAACACAACATGTTTACTTTTTAATATCTACACCTTGGTCTTATTTTTTTAATTTGATAATAAATAGGACTTTCACTTGAAAACAGACTTTATAACCAAATGTTTTTATAAAGTTATTGAACTCTGCTAGTGTTTTCAAAGAGAGTGACCTGAATCCTGGTTTAACTGCTAATAATGGACAAAGAAATACATTTTCAGGCCAAGAAAATAGAAAACAGTCAACCTCCAAAATATTAACTTATTGGATTTTTTTCTTTCAACAAGACAAACGTTTAGGGGGAGAGCCATTCCATGCCAGCTTTGTTTTTGTGCCAGTCTCTTTTTTTTATTTTCAGATGATGGATTAAAGCGTACTCTGTGAGATGTTCAAAATGTGGAAAATTGTTTCCAAACCTGACCATGCTTTATGATGCTGTTTGTTCACTGATGTTTGCTGACAAACCTCTGATGCCTTCACATAACATCTGGTTTTACACTGAGATGTAATTACACACAGGTGGACTCTGTTTACTAATTTTCTCTTAAAAAATACATGAAATAATGTATCATTGTTATTTCTCTTCCCCAATTATTCACTACTTTATATAGATTATAAATTCGAAGGGAAATACACTGGAAAATATGATGAAGTTTAACTTTTGCAAGCCAATGTGAACTGTAATGAATACCATTTCTCAGAAATGTTTGCTGCATTGTTTGTGGCTTTAAAGTGGTGTCTGTTGGAGGCGTTCTTCCTCTTTTACCTCTGTTCCTCTTTGCCTCCCTGTTACCAGGCCTGGGATTATTAGTGCTGAGCGAGCGGAGGATGTTGTCGCAGTCGGCCAGCCCTCCTCCACTCCCAGCTGCACGTACAGTCAAAAATAACCATCTGCGAGAGACAAACAAGGCGCTGAGCCAATGGAGTGATTAAATATATCAAACACCGAAGGAGTCAGATGAAAGAAGCCATCTTTTTCTCCTGTTTGGAGCGGTTCTGCCAGCGCCGCTCACGCTCCCCAACGGTGCAGCCTACGAATGAACCGAGAATGCCCGGTGGCTGAACGGGAACGCTCACATGTCTGTGCACACGCTGGTGTTCATGACAGATAATGAGAAGCTCCCATGATGCCGCTGCCAGCCTCCGACTCGCTGCAGTTTATTTTGACTCAAGTCGAGGGGAACGCGGTTATTTTTACTCGTCTTTCTGGTTTGTGTAAGCGCTCTTTTTCCTTTAGCTTCCGAGCAGGTGGAGCAGCGCTTGTTTGCGGCGATGATGACATTTGTCCCCCGTCTGTGTCTGAAGTTACAGCACAGCGTTGCGGCTCCGGTGACCTACTTTCTCTCTCCCTTTCTCCCTCCCGCACGTGACAAAATAGAAAAGGAGGAGGGATGGGGGTGGAAGGTTGTTTTGTAAATGCCATTTGCAGATAAGAGCTGGATGATGGTGGCATGTGTTTAAGTGTTGGTGAGAACTGGTTTTTGGTCCTGAACGCGTCCTCCCCTCAGCGCGCTGTCTGACTGGCAGATCAGCCGCTTGGCGAGCTCGTGCTCACCGAGGGCCAGCGGGCAGTTTCTGGTCACTGTCATGGGAGTGTGACTTTACAGGCTTTTCTCTGTTCCTGTTCCAGGAATTTGTACTGCACTGTGCAACTTAAGGAAATACAATAAGGAAATTGTGCAATAAATTGGAGGGATTTTTGTTGTACTTTTGTCTGTAAAGAGGAAAAAACAAGGACGAAAGTATGCACAACTCCACCGCTAGATGGCTTTCATTTGTTGAACGGTTTGTGTCTCAATACCAGAGTTGGTTTGGTGTTTTCTCCGTTGTAAAACTGACATAAGGGATTGCGCAAGGATGTTTTGTCGCATTGTTCCTGTATGGCTGGTGGTAAATAAATTCACTTCTTTGTGAATTAGGTAGTAAGTTTCAGATGTGGTACCCCATGAAGCTTTGCACTTTTTACCACATCATAACCACAAACTTGATTATTCTATAGGAATTTTAGTTCATGGACCGATTCACAGTGGTGCATAGTTGTTAAGTTGAAGAAACACTGCTGCAGAAGTTTCAACTTTACAAATGAAAAAAATATTTAGTTTTCATTTGGGTTCCCCCTTTATCCCGATACACACAAATTAAATTAAGTGTAATCAGTTGCCCTCAGAAGTCGACTATATTCCACCTGTGATTTTTAACATGAATGTTAACACAAGAATAAACTAAGAAACTCAACACAAAGAAAATTAACTTATATGGCAGCATTTTTGAAAACTGACAAATAAAACATTCTAAGATATACAGAACAAATATGAACAAAGAAAGGGTTAAAACTTAACCATAAGTAAAACACCTATGTCGATGGGGATTCGTTTTATTATAAAGGCTTCATATGCAGTTTAGGAACATTTGAATTTAGATTTTTGTCTTTTATAGTTCTAGCTCAGTATGAAAATAAAATAACATGGAAATATTTTTTTTGTTTTTCCAGACTATCCAAATGCCTAAAATGTTTTGTCCTGCCTTCTTTGTGTCCTTTTCTTTTTCTAACACACTTATGTCAGTTTTGTTTTTTCATTCTCTTTCCTTTCTTCCTATTTTTTATATCTCCCTTCTGTCCTCGTGTCATACTTACCATTTTATCTTTCCATCCTTTCATGTGTCCTTCCTTCTGTCTGATGTTGTTGGTTCCTTACTGACTTCTTTCCTTACTTAATTATTTACCTCCAGTTTCTGGTATTCACATTTAAAGTCTTTCCAGTGTTTTACATTGCAAGATGAACCAGAAGGTTTGGAAAATCTGGAAAGTCTGAATATGGAACAATCTGGAACCTTCACATCTAAAATGTGTATTAACCAAATTACGACAGCATGGTGTGTCCTAAGTCTGAAATGTGTTTTCTTCTTTCAGGCTGTGAACTGTAAAGGCCAACACAGCATCTCCTACACGCTGTCCAGGCACCAGACTGTGGTGGTGGAGTACAGCCATGATAAAGACACAGACATGTTTCAGGTGAACGCCCTGTTTAATTACACGCTTGGTTGTAAAGGAGGCTGCATCTAAATCTCCCACTGCAGCTGATCATCAGGTTTTAATTGGAAGCTTGTATATTTAAAAATAATGATTGAAAAAGACAAATTAATGTTTAAAATGTATGTTTTAAAACTTTGTGACAAGGCAAAAGATTTTTTTTCTTACATTTGGAAACCAATATAAAAATATACATAATTCAGTCTTTATTATAAAGTTTGAAAGAGGGGCAATATGAGTTTCACAAAACAGACGTTCACAAACGAAGGGTTTTGGAAGTTCTCAGAGAAGAAAAGTGACAAAATGAAAGAGAAAAATGCTTATTTCTCCCTCTGGTTTCCTCTTCATCACTCTTGCTTAAAGCTACGTTTAAAGACATATGACCCCAAATTACTCCCCCCTTCACAAAATATGACTATCTTTCTGTTTAGTATGTGTTTTTGAAGCACTATCTCAGGATTTCCCAGTGTTTCATTTGAAACAGAACAAAGCCATCTGAATCTGAAACTGGGACAGTTTTACCGTGTTTTCAATAAATGGATGCTAATTTTGAGACTGACGGCAGCAGCACGTTAAAAACGGAGTCCAGACAGGAACATTAAAAGGTCAGTCGCCTACAGGTCAGTAACATGTTATAAAAAGAGCCTCTGAGAGGCTGAGGAGCCGGGCGGGTGGGGTTCACCCAGTGGGCCTATAACATAAACACCATGTTTTCTGTCTTAAAGTCGCTACACCGCTCACGTTTGGTGGCCTGTAATAGAAGTTAGAGTGCCTTGCAAAAATATTTATACTCCTTGAACTTTTCCACCACCTCACAACCAAACACTTCAGTCTATTATTACTGGGAATTTATTGGGAGGAGGGGCCGGCGGCCTTTATCATCCAAAAGCTCCTTCTCCTTTTCTAGAGCTGCAAAACACACACAATCTACATGAAGTAAAGACATTTGTTTTATGGTTAAGGAATTCTATATCTAATTTTATGTTTTCGAACAAACAAAAACAATTAAAACGTTTATTTTACCATATTTATTAAATAAAAACATTATTTAGAGCCCATTGACCAAACAAAAAGGACGAAAGAAACAAAATAAATAAAATTACAAGAATAAAGTCCTAAAATTACAACAGTAAAGTCATAATATGGGAATAAACTGGTACTATAATAAAGTCATCATTACGAGAATACAATCGGAATATTAGCAATATAAATCGTATCTGTGTTTGTGGGGTTATGATTGCTGTGTCATGCAGTCAGTCATTTAGTTTCCCAAAAAAGAAGTCGCAAATAGTTCTTCTGGTTACTTTTATTTTCATAATAGTACCAAAAATATTGTTATAAAACTTTACTCCCGTAGAGGAGCTACTGTGCACATTATAAAGGACACATTGACGTTTGTGTTACAAAATCAGATAAGTTTTGTAACATTGCAGTCTGAACAATTTTGAAAGGTACTGTATCTGTAAGAAAAAAACAAAACATCATCTTATTGCATAGCTTAACGTTTAATGCTATTTTTCAAAATTATAGTTGCAGCAGCTTCCTCCACGCTCAAGAGAATATAAGCCGTGGGAGTTCAAATCGAGGCCCGGGGGCCATTTGCAGCCCCTGGACTGATTTCGTGCGGCCCTCCGACCACAATTGAATGAATTAAATAAATTAGGACAAAACTTCAACTTTTAAATTAAAACCTATTTACAAAAACGATAAATGCATGCAACACAAACTGATAATCTTTCTCAAGCTTTCAGTTTTCTGTCTATTTTCATGGTGAAGAGGACCACATTTACTCATAGATTAATGCTCTGACGTACACCTTGGTGCACCAAAATCTATTTTTAGTGGAACTATTAAAATCGTGTTTTTCATTTTCCAGTTTTTGTCAGTCAAGTCCAAAATAAGCAAACTAGATGCCTTTGATTTCACAAAGAAAACGTGCAGAAACCAATTAAAGTTTTGGACCTACTAATTTGTTCCTTCAAAAAAAGTTCTGTCTACTTTATTTGTTTAATTAAAATAACTTACGCTTGGTTTACTATCGTCTAGATACAAAAAATCACAACATATTTGGTAATTTTAGGTTTTAAATATGAAACTTTTTGAGCTGATCATCTGGGCCCAAAAGAGAACAAGTTTAGAGAGCCCTGATATAAACTGTCTGCTTTATTCTCCTAAAGCCATTTCCTGTTATTATTTGGTTGTGTTTTAGAGCAGCATGGGTAACCAGAAGGTCAGTGCCAAAACTGAACAGGAACACTGGTTGTAAAACTTTATTTCCACACGGGAATGCCATGCTGCGTTGTGCGGAGAAGCGAGTTTGTTTGATAAATGTTCAGTTCCACACTGAACTGCTGTCCCTTTAGATGCGAACAGAATTATTTGATTGCCGCTGAAATCCTGAATCAGGTGAGAATGGTGAAAACACTTTGCTTTTATTCCTGTGTAAACTGCCCTGCTTATATCCCAAATGTTTACTAGTGAAGACGGAGGTGATGCAACACAGTAGTAAAGATGCCTCTGGCCCAACGACTTTGAAACCTGTTTTAAATATCAAGCCGACGCTGAGCTTTCAAAAACAAATCAATTTCTCAGTTTCATCATGTTCAATGTTTATTTTTATCATTCATATATTTTAAAATTGTAAACTTTATTAAGGGTTTCAATGAGCTGAATGAACAATTTTTTTGTGCAGATTGGACGTTCCACGGAAAATCCCATAGATTTTGTGGTTACTGACACCGTAGCGGGAGGCCAGGATGGAGAGGAGACACAGATCACCCAGAGCACCATCTCTCGCTTTGCCTGCAGAGTCGTCTGCGAGCGCAACCCCCCTTACATCGCTCGCATCTATGCAGCTGGATTTGACTCCTCCAAAAACATCTTCCTAGGGGTAATTACTAGTTGCTGTTAATTTATGGGGTTTCGTAAACTTCATCAGTTCAAGGGACAAAAGTATTTTTTTATATAATAAAATACTATTTCTGCACCAGGAAAAAGCAGCAAAGTGGAAGAACCCTGATGGCCACATGGATGGTCTGACGACCAATGGGGTGCTTGTAATGCACCCTAAAGGAGGCTTCATGGAAGAGTCCAAACCCGGCGTCTGGCGAGAGATCTCCGTTTGTGGAGATGTCTACACTCTGAGAGAGACCCGCTCAGCGCAGACCCCAGGAAAACTGGTGTGTTTTCATACAACTACAAACATATATCTCATGAGTTTTATTCATATTTTATGTGTTAGCCCTCTTGGAATAATTTTGTGGCTCGCAGATTAAAAATGGTACAAATTTGACCCTGTAAGCTGATAAGATGATGCTTTATACATTTTATGATGATACCTAAAATATTTGGTACAACAAAAAATTATGTATTTTTTCTGTATCTGAATAGCTATGTGTTATACACTTTGTTAGACCGTCACTAAAGAAGTGTGATATTTATCACTAGACTGCACACATTCACTGCATTTATTCATAGTTTCAGATTTATTTGTATTTGGTGATGCTCTAATTGAACAAAGAATTGCAAAAATTGTAAAAAAAAAAAACAAACAAACAAAAAAAAACCTAACACTGACATTTTTGGGGCACTTAAAATATCATTTTGTATTTATCATGACAGCAATAAATCAAAAATATCTCTCCCTTTTTTCAGGTGGAGAATGAGAGTAACGTACTCCAGGACGGCTCTCTGGTGGACCTGTGTGGGGCCACTCTGCTGTGGCGTACTGCAGAGGGTCTCTTTCACACTCCCACCCAGAAGCACCTGGAGGCCCTGAGGCAGGAAATCAACGCGGCACGGCCCCAGTGCCCCGTGGGTCTCAACACGCTCGCCTTCCCCAGCATGCAGCGCAGTCGGGCCCTCTCCTCTCTGGAGGACAAGCAGCCGTGGGTCTACCTGGCGTGCGGGCATGTGCACGGCTACCACAACTGGGGCCATCGCTCCGAGCGGGAGCCCAACACCCAGCGTGAATGCCCCATGTGCCGGGTGGTGGGACCCTACGTCCCGCTGTGGCTGGGCTGCGAGCCCGCCTTCTACGTGGACACGGGCGCGCCCACTCACGCCTTTGTGCCGTGTGGACATGTGTGCTCGGAGAAGTCGGTCAAGTACTGGTCCGAGATCCCTCTGCCCCACGGCACCCACGCGTTCCACGCCGCCTGCCCCTTCTGTGCCATGCAGCTTGGCCCCTCTCAGGGTTGGTCCAAGCTGATCTTCCAGGGCCCGGTGGACTGATCTGAAGATCCCTGCTGCCGGAACCTTCTGGGAAACTGATCAGATAAAACTCGTGCTTTATTTGTGCAAACCAGCCTCGAAATGGAATGAGTTTGCTTGAGTTTTGGCCATTTATGTGGGTCCCGTTCAACAGGGAGCCATTCCAGATTGTTTACTAGCTTTTTGGACAGAGTGAGAAAGTGCTCTGTCCAGACAACCAGTTTTATCCAAGGCTTCATCGTCAGGGTGTTTTGCCACACTATCATCAGATTGCTACAGCGAGTCTCTTAAACAAATGACTTATTTCTCCCACCAGGTGTCTTTGGGTCTGTTGGGAAAGGAAGCAGTTGTTTAGTTTCTGATGGAACGGAGCTTTCACAGAGCCAGACAGCTGGACTGTTGGCTGGGAGAAAAGCCAAGAGGAACTTTGGGTTTAATTGCTAAATAGCCCAAAAATAAATAAATAAAAAATGCCTCCAATCGTTTCTCTTGGCTGTAAACTCTTAATGGCATCCAAATCACGTAACTCGCTAGAAGTGGCTTCACCGAACAAACTTTTGAGTTGTACAGAGATGAAATCCAGTGCCTGAGATCCCGATAAAGAAAGTGGGAATATTTTTATTAGAAATTGAAAATATATATATTTTGTGGAAGGTAGAGAGAGATGACAACCCACGTGGGCTTTACTACACTGAGGCTGTTGGAATGTTTTGTAACCCAAATGTTAATATATTTTTCTCCTTCATATATATTGTGTGTGAGAATGAATGCATGTGTGATTAGGCGTGTGTGTGTAGGTTGGACTGTGTGGCCCTGCATCATTTCACCCCGACCGCTTCTTATGATCTCACATGCCAACCCGAACCGCTAGCAAAGACGTCGCAGGAATTAAAAGAAGGTCACCGGGTTTCAGAATGATGGTGTGGGAATCCACCGAGTCCTTTCTGCTGGTGCTCTAATTATATGACCTGCTTTCTCAGTTCATGTCAGGCCCGCTCACAGTCAAAAGTGACATTTTGGCTTTACAACTGACACCCACGTTGCTGATCAGCTTTGCACTGCTGTTAGCTTTATCCTGTACTGGGTCTGATCCAAGGCTTTTAAACCCTGGCCACGTTCTCAGTAGCATCGTGAGATTATAATGCAAGATGGAACGGCCGCCGTTTTGGTGATCCAAAGTGTTTCTGTGAACCCAAACTCCTGCAATGACTGACCACTGACAGGTTGGGATTACAGCAAAGTCTGTTCTGTATCTTAGCGCAGGGTTCCTACACGCTCCCAAAGACTGAAAGTATTGAATTAGCTTTTAAAGTGAAAAAGTGAGGAGCAAAATGAGTATCTGTGTTTCATTTGCCAGACAATGAGAATATGATTTTGTAATGACTTGCTCAAAGAAAGTAGAACAAATTAGAGATGTATGAAAGTAGTCGTATGCCCTCACAACTCATTTTATTTTTAATTTTTAGAGTTTACAAGCTATCTCCTATTTTTGTTAGGTTAAATAATTTTCCTGTGATAAGAACCAACTGCTAACATGACTGTTCTAATTTCAAAGTCGACAAACTTATCTATTGTTTCAGAAAATTCTACTTTTAATATATCATGGTGTTTTAGTGTTTTCCGATACTGTAATAATATCTCATTGTTTCCAGATGAAGCACAAAAATGATCTGAATAACCCATTAAGATAGAGATAAACGTATTGTTACAAAATGAGGAGATGTTATCTTGAGAAAAAGAGGTGGTTTACTTGAAAAACTAACAAAAATACCAACCTCATCATCTCAGTAATATTTTTATAACATTAGAAAACTAGCACCCTTGTGAGAAATGAAAAACTTGCTGACACAAAGTTAATATTTATTTATCTCAATATTTTGAGATAATAAAACATCACTGTCAAAAACAAACTCGGTATTCCAGTTTTGATTTTGTTGTTCTAATGGAACAAAACCATCTTGGGGTCCTGTTACTTCAAAGTAATGAGAAGTTAATGGTAACACTACAAGTTTGAGATAACAACTTGAGATAACTCATCTGTCAAAATCGAAACTTATAGTTTCACTGCAAAAAAAGTTTGGAGTTTGTTGCATCAGAGTCAGATAAGATAGATAGATAAAAGATATTTTGGGCTACTAGAGTGATTATGCTTCAGTATTGCCGATATTAAACGTCAAATTGGAAAAAAGAAGACGGGTAGTAAATCACATTAAACTTTTAGACCCAACTGTCTGACCGGATCTGGAAACTGAGATATTTGATAATCTGACTCGAGTTTTAAAGTGGAAGAATGTGTAGGAACCCTGTCTGTCTGGACTCTGGAATAACAATGTCATCCTGCTTTATGCCAAATTCAGTAAATGATGTTGTGATCATCAGATGAGTCAAGTCATCCAGAATAAAATAGCAGAGCAACTAAAACAAGAATCTGGGAGAAATGGCTTGAAAACACTGGTCCCATATGTGAAAAATCTCATCAGTTCTGCTTGTAGTAGAGCATTAAGATGATGGGATGTTGACTGAATTCAAGTAAACTTCCAGGCTGAATCAAAAAGAATAAAACTAATTCAGGTATCACTATGCAGGGAAAAATTCAATGTTTATTTTTTTATCATTTAGGATTTTTCCAGAGAGAAACCATCTAAACATTCTTGTAAGTCTTTATAAATACCAGAAGCATTACTCCTACTTCATACCACTAAGAAACCTCCTGGTTTCTGCTTATTTCATGTAACTGCCACGCAGGGTGATGCACTAAGCCTGGAACTGTAGCATTCCCCTCTAACAGTTTTAAGCTCAAACACTGTGCCCATTGCTTGAGACCGTATTCTGTAACAGCTGCAGCGTAGCCGCCTCAAACATTCCTCCTCGGTAAACATGGGTGGGGCTTGCAGCTTCTCCCAAGGGATCGTTCTATGAAATTCGTGTTTTTTTATTTTATTTTTTTTTTCCTGCAGGAATTCTGTACACAAGCCATAGAACACACCGAAACTCCTGATGCCTCCTTTGCAAAGAATAAAAATATTTTTTAAATAACAAACAGGAGTGAGTTGGACTTCTTTCTCTGATTGTCAGTTTGTATGTTTTACTTGTGGTTAATGGCTGGGGGCGGCATTTGATCCACTGATTTTGAAGGGCTGTGTGCATTTGAAGAAGATTTGTTGGTTTTCTTATTCAGCCCTCGCCTTTGAACTCCAGATGTCTGTGCTGTGTTCACTCAGCCAACACAGCAGTAATGTTTAATCATACTTACACATGTGTTTCATCATACGTCTGTGTGAGCATTGTACCTACTATCTCGCTTGCGAGTGATGGCTCTACATGTTAACTCTATTAAGAAAATTTTACTGCAGATAAGCCAGAAAAAATGTTCTTGAAGTTTTGTTTTCTGCACATTTCTTCGTTTTATGAGAATCCGTTGTCCTTGCTGCGCGTTTCCTACAGAGGCCACAGGAGGGCACTGTTTCCTCAACAATAGAGCTGTTGGCACTGCGCCCTGAGGCATCCAACAGCCGCAGCAAAAAGATGAAAGTTTTTATGTGCACATAAATTCATCACATAAATACATTAGAAACAAGAAAAAGAGAATTATCTGCACATGACTAAAAATCCACAGACGCAACTAAAGGAGATGCATGTCAGCTGTATATTTAAAGGTATTACAGATTAATCTTTTGCATTTTCAAGGCTTTTACAGCTAATTTAATTACGGAGTGATTTCACTCCCCGTTTAACTGCTGTCATGTTCCCAAGAAATGCCAGATGTATACATATAGAGGTTTGCCATGTTTCGCTTTTATGTTTAAATTCTCTTAAAAAAGAAAAAGCAACACAAGATGCTGACAATGACATTTCCAATCATTCTTATTTGACTCCATCTCCCCCTATAATAAGGGCACATGAAAGCGATTTAAATACACTGCATGTCGGTTCGGCGCTGGGAGAGGACTGGAGCTGTGCGGTGGCATGCGTCCTGATTAACATTTCTCCAGCAGATGGGAAATGGGTTCACATGTCTGCACACTTGCCTGTTTTGCTGAATGACAGAAGAGACGGCGAAGGTGACAGCATGCTAATTTTGGGATCACTCAGTGACTTCTCTGCCTTAAGCAGGGAAGGGTTATGCAAATATAGGGGAATAGTGGTGGTTTTCTTTTTTTTCATTGAGAAAGTTTGCATGCAGGACTGATGCTGCTTTTTATAAATGCACAAGAGCTGGAGCTATTCAGTCATTTAGCAGCATTATTTTTCTTACTTTTTTCCACTTGGTTTGGTTATATTCTTACAGAAAACTGATATAAATCATGACTAAGCATTCTTTGTTTGTGAAAACAGCAAAAAAAAAAAAAAAAAAAAAAAAAAAGATATTTATATATTGCACTGAATCCAGGCATTCGGGTGTCCTGTCATTACTGCTCCAGCACACTTAATTCAAATGACAGGAACATTTCCTCTGCAGGCCAATCAGTGCTGAACAATCAACCTGACCGTATAGCAGCTGGGAAACAGGTAAAACCAGAAAGACAGCAGGTCTTAAGGACCAGGACTGAGAACTGCTGGTTTAGAGTATGACGAAAGATATGGAGTGGATTCAGCAAACAGATGAGACAAGGTCTTATCTTTAAACAGAAAACCAGTTAGAAGCTGTAAAAAAAACAACCACCCAGAACTGGAAAGCAATGAAAGATAACAGCTCTAAACATCATGCATATTCATGTTAAATTGCTTCAGTCAAGTCCAGTCCTAAATCTGATAGAAAATGTAACATTTACAAGGCACTATACACCATATGACGGATACAACACATAATGTGATTCTATAAAAACACAGACTAAAGACATCACAAGTAATCTTAAAAACACTTATTAATTATTAATTCAGATAAAACACTCTGGATCTGTGAAGTAGCTAGGCACTATATCCAGGGTAAAATGTGTAAGACTGTTTCAGTTTCCCTCACAATCTTCTGCAGGACACATACAACCCAAGCCCACGTTGCTACTGATTTCTCACTGTTTCAGGCTTGTAATGTATTTGCTGTTTGTAAGCAAACTGGGTTTTTTGTGGTTTTGTCTTAATGTTGGACAAAAAAAGTGTTCATGTTTTGTTTCAGATTATATATATATATATATATATATATATATATATATATATATATATATATATATATATATATATATATATAATATAAAAATAAAAAAAATTCCCTTCTCACCCACCGCGGGTGGTTCTTATCCTCTGAGCTCGGGTCCTCTACCAGAGGCCTGGGAGCTTGAGGGTCCTGCAGTATCTTGGCTGTGCCAAGGACTGCACATTTCTGGACTGAGATGTCTGATGTTGTTCCTGGGATCTGTTGTAGCCACTGCTCCAGTTTGGGGGTTACTGCCCCGAGGGCCCCGATGACCACAGGCACCACTGTGGTCTTCACCTTCCAGGCCCTCTCCAGTTCTTCCCTGAGGCCCTGGTATTTCTCCAGTTTCTCGTGCTCCTTTTTCCTGATGTTGCAATCACTTGGTATTGCTACATCTACCACAACGGCTTTCCTCTGATGTTTATCCACTACGACAATGTCTGGTTGGTTCGCCATTACCATTTTGTCTGTCTGGATCTGGAAGTCCCACAGGATCTTAGCTCTGGTGTTCTCTACCACCTTTGGGGGTGTTTCCCACTTTGATCTCGGGGTTTCCAGTCCATATTCTGCACAGATGTTTCTGTACACTATGCCTGCCACTTGGTTATGTCGTTCCATGTACGCTTTCCCTGCCAGTATCTTGCACCCTGCTGTGATGTGCTGGACTGTCTCAGGGGCCTCCTTGCACAACCTACACCTTGGTCTTGTCTGGTGTGGTAGATCTGGGCCTCTATTGCTCTGGTGTTTAGGGCCTGTTCCTGGGCGGCCAGGATGAGGGCCTCTGTGCTGTCCTTGAGTCCAGCTTTTTCCAGCCATTGGTAGGATTTACTGATATCAGCCACTTGGGTTATTTGCTGGTGGTACATTCCATGTAGGGGCTTGTCCTCCCATGATGGTATATCTGGCACCTCAACCTCCGTTCCCTGTTGTCTGAGACATTCACTGAGCACATTGTCTGTTGAGGCTTTGTCCCTGATGTATTTATGGATCTTAGTTGTTTCGTCCTGGACAGTGGTTCTCACACTCACTAGTCCTCTGCCTCCTTCCTTGCAGCTCATGTACAGTCTTAGGGTGCTGGATTTGGGGTGGAACCCTCCATGCATGGTTAGTAGTTTTCGAGTCATGCCAGTAATCAGATATATATATATATTTCAAGCTATAGAATAAGACAATCAGAAGCTGCATGCGGTGCCGTTTGAAGAGGATTATGATTATATCACGCCTATTTACTATTTCATGTGGTTCTTGATGATGCTTTGTACTCACGTCACTCAGCTTATTACATCTCAATGAATAACAAATGAGTTTCTGAATAAAAGACAAATAACCAGAAATGAAAACACCATCAGAACATATGGTGGGGAGCAGAGGTTTGGAAAATCAAGCATTAAATTCAAACATTAAAGCAGTTCCTCTTTGAGGACCTCATGTCCTTTTTCTGGTCCTCTGTTCTTGCAGAGGTACATGTGGCGTCTTGCCGACTCATCCAAACAAGAGGGCAAATGACTTTAATTATGGAGTAATTGCAGAGTCTGGCGTTAATTAAATCTTTATCAGTTAATGTAAGTGGATTTCTCCCACATGGAAACCATGCAGCGATGTGCTGTCTTGCTCTCCCCCTCCTCCTTTTTGCTCAGGCTAAATTTCCTGTTTGAGCCCGCCGGTGTGTCGCCGCATACTCGGACTCTGACGTTTTTCCACCACCGGGTCTCCCAGAAATGATTGAGATTAGCAGGAAACGGCAAAAGGGGGTGGTTTTGCCAGCTCTGTAGCCAGCTGTGTCTTAAAAACACCGTAACAAACATGATAGCACCGATGTGAGGGAGTAACCCGCGCTGGAAAATGAGATACACGATTTATCTGAGGTTCCTGGTGTTTGACAAAATTGAATCCTCTCATTTTAATTGCTCTCAACGAGGTGTGCTGCCCTGGGCCATGGAAACGTGAGCTCTGTGTGTTGTCCCTTGTTCTCTACAGACTATTATACTCCATTGTGCAAAACACAGATTATGAATTGCCGTGTCCCTGTCATCTATCTTATTTAGGATCATTTAGGTAGCCACATGTTACAAAGGAACAGCAGTCAGCCCTGTTATTATGTGTGTTTGAGTCCCCCGCTTCCTGTAATGAGAACAGGATCACAAAGGAGAATTAATCTGTCTGAAGTCTCATTCGCTGGTTCAAGGCCTCACTATGTAGACCTTTTTATCCACAATAATAGAATGATAATGTATGTTTTTTTTTTAACTCTTTCAAAAACACACATTTGAAAAGTCCTCCACAGATGATGGAGCCATTTTGTCCTTCACACTGATAGCAAAAGTTTTAAAGTTGAATCTTTAGTGCTAAAGAAATAGTAACGCCCTTCACAAGATAGTGAATGCAACCACTAAGTATACACACATATTATGTTTACCACCTGTTCCATTGGAAAAGCATTCATACCTTTTAGGAAACTGACCAACGCAATTGAATGTATAATTGCTTTGAGCACCTGCGTATTTACAGTTTTGACAATTCTTTGTCAAAAATTAGTCAGATTGGGTGGAAATTGTTGATGATATTAGGATTTGTTACATGTCCTCTATGTCTGTGATGTGACTAGGCCATTGTAACACAAGCTTATCCTTTGATCGGCGCCATTAAATTGTAACTGACTGTATGTTTAGGGTTATTATCTTGCTGGAAGATGTACCTTCTCTCCAATCTCAAGTGTTTTGCAGCCGGTTCCAGATTTCGCTCCAGGGTTAACTGTGTATTTATTAGGCGGACGACCATGTCTTGGTAGGATTGCAGTTGTGTCAAATACTTTCAATTTTCAGATACCAGACTGTGCAGTGCATTTAAACATCTTCCAAAGCTCAGTTTTTCTTAAATGTTTTACTATTTTGCTTTCTAATGAAGGCAGGAGCATCAA